GAATACTTCGTATATGAGTTACTACATGAGTTGAACCCCCAAATCTTTTAAAAACGATTGTTCATTCTCTACAAGATTTTAATTTATATTTAAATAAACGTTTTGATCAGGAAAATGACGGTTGTGCTGTAATGGTTGAGAAGTATACCATATATGTGATCAGCCATAACACACATGATCAGTATAAAAGATTAAAAAACCCTGTTTTTCTGCTGGGCGAGTCATATATTGAATCTTGTTATCAGTAATTAAAAAAAATATATTGAATCTTGTTATAAGTAAAATTTCAAGCAGCATAACATGAAAAATTAAAGTAAATTTACTTTTGTGTAAACTATTATTTTTCTTGAAAAAAGAATCAAGGTTTTTTTTTTTTTTTAGTTTTAAGTGTTTATATTTAATTTAAAAAAAATTATTCTAAGTGTACTTTTGGTAAACTAATCGAGCGAAAAAACGCAAAAATATCTAAATGTTGTTAAAAATATTTCTTTTTATTATGAAGGTAGATTGTTATGAACTAAGAAAAGGAGTTGAAAAGTACTTGTGATAATGAAAAGGATTTGGATGTAATAGATTTGAATTTAAACTTATTATGACTAGGAGACAATCATGTAAAAGTATGTGGCACGCAATAGTGCCACAGGCTCTTGCAAAGTATGTGGCATTTTGGGATGCATTGTATTAAATATATATATATATATATATATATATATATATATATATATATATATATATATATATATATATATATATATATATATATATATATATATATATATATATATTGGTATCTTAAAACTTAGTTTTTAAAGCAAATGATTTAGATAAATCACCAGCAAACCAAGAGGGTTTTAAGGAATCAGCATAGAGAGGTCGGCCAACAGAAAATATTTGATGAATTGAGTTCTCGCACAAAAAGACGATCGGTAGCAAATATTTATTTTTTATAGGGAACTCGTTGAAAAAAAAAGTTTTGTTTTCAAAGAAAAAACAGCATTTAATAAACGTTACTTTAAGTAAGTCTTATTACTTAGCGTCGTTCCAAAAAAACAACATGAATTGTTATTGGTTTAAACTCAGCTAACAACGCTGCAAGAGAAAATGACTTATGAAAAGCAATTACATTACTTGGATAATAAACTTTTATAAATTGTTTATTAAACTACATAAAGTGGCATTATGCAGATTTCAATCGTATTGAGTAATTTCCTAAATAAAAAACGAGTGCTCAACTTTAAAAACATCCGTTAAAGTTATAGAAACAAAGGCTAAGTTTAAACAACTGGTTTTTTGTGGTTAACACTTAGGCGACTAGTGAAACAACAGGAAAAAGAAATTCTAAAATATTTCGATCATGAAAAAATACCGTAATGAAAATTTTGGGTATGAACGTGGTATCAAGTCACCCAAAATACCATTAAGGTTTTAATATTAAATTGTGCGGCCGTGGCGCAGTGGTTAGAACGCTTGCTTTATAAGCAGGAGATCCAGGTTCGAAATGAGCTTTAGACATATTTTGCGTTACGGTAAGGAAAGAGGCGTTAGCTTCCTGGTTAATTGCACTTCTGCGGTGCTCTATGACAAGACCATTAGGTCTTCTTGGGGCACCTAAATAAATACAAAATAAATAAATCCAATCAAAAGGTTCAGATCTATTAGTCACAGCTACATCGCCTCTTTGACTATATGTAAATTCAGATTCAAATAATATTTTATGAAATAGCCTCAGAGAATTATATCCTTTAGATCAATTATGCCGGAGTAAAAAAATAAAGTAGTGGTATTAAAATTAAGGAAAAAATTAAAAAAGAAGTTCTTAATTTATACACTGTTAAAAATTACTTTCCAGGACATAAGTATGCTTTGATCAAGTATAGTTTTGTATAGTTTTCAACGATTGATGGGAAAATCTTAGTTTACATAACAGACACTTTATTGATACAGTGTTGTTCGATTTATCATGTCATACCAAACATGATGAAAGATCTAAAAAATTTTAAAAAAGATTTATTATAGTTGTAAAGGTATTTTACCGAGGCGTTTCACCACTGTTTGCTTGGATTAGATTTTTTGAATCTATTTAACATATTTTATATAGAATTGAAACGAAAACTTAAAAAGTAAAAAAGGTTTTAAATTACCATTTATGAGTATCCGATCAATTAAGAAATAAAATTTTTTCTTAATAGGATGTTTGAAGAACTTGGTTTGAGAGTTGATTAACCAAGCAAAGGTGGATTAGGAACCAGAAATTTATGCCGACAAGCTTTTTCTGATCCTTTATTACTTAGCAAAACCTTAGAAATTGATGAGGAGATTATTATCAGTTTACATAACATTCTAATTGCAAACAATTGCAAAATCCTAAATGATCCGGAAAAAATAGATAAATATTGAAATGATGCATATAAGAAATTGTTAAAAACGTTCGAATAGTTCAAGGTCCCAGTTTCCATTTACATAGTACTTGCACATACTGTCAAAACCATCAATTCACCAGCTCCACCTGATTTAATAGAAAAAGAAGCAGCTAAATCTTAGCATAAAATTTATAAATTGGATAGCGAACACCGTGCAAGGAAAAAAGGCAGAGAAATTATTTGTCAACTTATTTGACATTTTTACTCGAGCAACACATACTTCTGTCCCCCTACTAGTTCAATCTCAATAAGTTAAAGATTAGAAACTTTTGTGCCTACCAAAAATACTTATATCGTGGACAGATGAAAATTCACCTACTATAGAATCAAATGAAAATAATGACAAAGGTGAATAATATTTAAAAGGTTGAAAAAGTTGACAAAAACCTAAAATTAGGTAGAGACAAACAAATTTCTGAACTGTATATAATGTATAACTTTATAGTCGTTTGCCAACTATGCAAATTTACTAAATATAAACTAAAATAATTTATAAATATAACTTTCACAAAATAAAAGATAATTCGATGAAAGTTAAAAAACTGTGGAAGAGTTTTTTAACTTTCATCATAATTAAAAAATATATTTACTTAGTAAATATATTTTTTAATTACAAATTGCACACACATTTGAGTTTATAACTACATACTTTTAGTTTATAACTATAAAAACTTACTCCGAACAAAAAAATAAAGATTGAAGTGTTCACAAAAATGTATACACCTTACACGTTTAAATTATGAACATATTTCAAACTTACGCAACACTTTAATGTACAAATCCTCCTCACTTTAACTTTATACCTAGTTCAATTTTACTATAAAAGCAAATTATATCTAATAGAGTTTAGTATAACAAAAAATGCATTTAACAAATTGTATAAACCAATGGACGGCAACCTAATGATATAGAAGATCGAAAAGTTGCAATTTACAAAGTTTTAGTTTACTGTGCAAGCAAAAAAGATTTATATAAGTACATGGTCTACATTATATTATTTAAACGTTTACACCAGGGGTCGGCAACCTGTGGCTTGCATGCCTCTTTTATTTCTTTCGATATCAAGATGTTCCTCTTTAGCTCCAAGCGCAAATATTATAATATAATATAATATATAATAGTGTTGTACACTTAAAGAGTGATGAGTCCAAACTACGTAGAGTTTGTAACTTAACAGCTGTAACACACTAACATGCAAACATAATAAAAGTTAGTATTTAAAATGTTCATCCAATTTGTTTTTGAACTAGTTGATACTGACTGCGTCTATTCTTTTTTGTTTAAGATTGTTCCAGTCGTGAACTCTATTTGTGAAAAAATTATGACGTTTTATATTTCTTGTATATTGCTTTCTCAGTTTACTATTGTGACCTCTAGTTTTATATCCGTTATCTTACATTTCGGGTTTTGTGTAAAAAAATATAATATTGTACCCTTTCAAATATTTGAACATTTGTATCAAATCACCCCTTTTTCTTCTGTTCTCATCCCTTTTCATAACTGTATCTATTCGAAATTTTAATTCTAATTTATATTAATATATTATTGAAATAAAAATGTTAGTAACAATTTAAAAACAAAATTTTTAAAGAGCTACCAACATCGTAATTTTAAATCTTTTTTCAAATTATCTACCAAATCTTTATTTAAATATTTTATAAATATTTGTGCATGGAGCTAAATAGCCTCATCAACCGCAGGTTGCCGAACCCTGGTATAAACGTTTAAATAATATAGTGCAAACTAAGTACTTACATATTTTTTGTTTGCATAGCAGACTAAGTAACAACAACTTTGAAAAAATAATAGTATTGCGAGTAAATATTTCGTGTGTTCTGTACGAGTCAAGTCTTTTTAAAGCACAGCATGGTTTTTAAAAGTAGGAATATAAATAGCTTTATTAAAATACTGAAGGTTTAGCAAGTATGCAAAACAGGACTGCAAACGCTGCTTAATTATCCTTTTTTTGCAATAACTAAATTTATTAAAAAAAGTAGCTTCGACGTCTTGTTTTGAGCCCCTCTTCCTCCTCATGCAACATCAGACTTTTCTCTTTACAATATTTGTGAGCTGCGAAGATCTCTTGCTAATGCAGCTGATTTCGGGTAGGTACAATCGGCAGAGCAGAGCAGATTGGCAGAGCAGATCATTGTAATGTTGATAGCGGTAGAGCAGATTATCCAATCAGCCGTTTTCTAATGTGTTTCTAATTTTGTAATCTGCCAAATATTATTAGGCAGATCACACATTATTTAAATATTATTTGGTAGATCACGCATTATCAAAATATAATTTTGCAGATCACAAAATAGAAAACGGCTGATTGTCTGTCTGTGATAATCTGCTCTGCCGTTATTATTATTACAATGATCTGCTCTGCCAATCTGCTCTGCCGGTTGCATTAAGATCTGCCGAAATATTTGGCAGATCACACATTAGAATACGTCAGATCACTTTTTTTTTGGAAATCATTGCGACAACAAAAAACGTTATTGTTTAAAAAGTCAACTCATAGTTCTTTCTATTCGAAGTTCGTCGTTTTTCATAAAAATATTTGGCAATCACATTATAAAAATCTTATTATATGATCTGCCGAATTAATTGGCAGATCGCACATTAGGAAACTACTGATTGAATAATCTGCTCTGTCGTTATTGATCTGCTCTGCCAATCTGCTCTGCTTTGCCGATTGTACCTACCCGCTGATTTCCTGGGATTCAAACGGCGTCAACTTCAGTAATCTCTCTTTCCTTAGTTTTTATTACAAATATTTTTATTTTATTCGAAACTTTCTTGCCTATTCTATGCTTTTAAAATATTACAAAATAAACTTTGAAATTGAATTTTCTCAATTTGAAATTCAATTAATCTTTTGTTTACAAAATTTTTATGAACTGCTAGTTTAGATTTTTTAAAACTTAAACACGGATGTCTTTTTGAAATAAAATAAAATTGATAAAACGCTATGACTTGAAAACTTTGTGATTTCTGATTTAATTAAATTAATATAATTTATATTTACTGAACATTTTAGCTGATTTTAGAAAGCTTTTGAAAAGTTATGCTTAAAAATTTAAATAAATCTGGTGTTTCTAAGCTTTTGAACGCTACTGCAACTCACAGTTGCGTTCTAAAGCTCAGAAAAACCCAAGTCTACAATGTTAGGTACGTAGCATGAAAATTTTAAATTAATTTAACATAAGATTGTTATATATCATTTTAAAGAGCTTCAATACAGTATTCTAAAAGTGAAAAAATTATTAAAATCGAGCAATTTGACGAAAAGTTATAACGTTTTAAGTACCGAATTTTCGATATATAGATTTGTTGAAGAAACTGTGGTCAAAATAATATTTTTCTTGACTAAAAACATCATAAACTTGTCAATTCTTATCTAAATGCCTATAACTTGGTATCAAAAGATAGGTATTAGAATAGGCTACAAAATTATATTGATCGCTAGCCAAAGGGCGTATCGGGGGCTAGAGGGGGAACCGAACCAACAGCTTATCCGGTAATAAATGCAAATTTTTATAAATAAAAGAGTAACTTTTTTTGGAAATTTTTAATTTTCATATGCAAGAAGTAGTTATAATTTGCTTCAGACCATTCCAAATTAAGAGAAGTTTATTATTGTGTTATGGTGGGTGTAAGGGTGTCAGTTTAACACACCCATTAACTAAAAAAAAATTTCAATAAATATTTTTATCTTTATTAAAAAAAAGTAAGCCTAATAATAAATACAAAATTTTTTTTTTAAAAAAATTACAAAAATTTCTCGTCTTCACACTAGTAGGGCACATTTAGAATCAAGGGAAGGGGTGTGTGCCACAACGCCCTCCAACCTAAAATAAGAATTAAATTTTTGTAATGCGATTAAAAAAATTTAAATGCTATTGTATAAGATAATAAAAATTATTATAAAAACATATTTTACCACATTACAAGATGCATCATTTTATCACATTATAAGATGTTGCCATTCTTTCTTTATATCAGCGTTCGAATACCCCTCCCTCCCACCTAAAATAAATATTTAAAAATAAAAATACTTTGAATTACAACAAATACTAACTTACGTCTTGGCTTTTAGTGAATGGTTAAAAGTTTAAGTTTCACAATGAAACTAAATAACAATCATTTTTAATAATAGACACGACAAGAATGTAATCCAGAGCCGTCTATCAAAAAAATTGCAAATCATACCAATTGCAGTACCTTTTCTGTAAGTAACACAACTAGTGGAACCTATTTTGTAAGTCATACCACTTGCATTACCATATTTGCAAGTCACACCACCTGCGGTATTTTCTATGCAAGTCACACCACTTGCAGTTTCCTTTTGGCAAGTCACACCATTTGCCATTACTATTTTGCACTTGTGGTATATTTTTGCTAGCCACACCATATGCGGTACTTTAACTGCAAGTCACCACTTGTTGTATCTGTTTTGCATCAACAAAATTACCTAGTATTGAAAATAAAAATTATATTTTACTACTTTATAACATACACTAGTGGCCTACATGTCAAATCAATGAATGGGTTCCGCCCCTCCCCCCTCTTTCCCTTGTAATCCAAAAAAACATAAAAAAGTTTCAAAACAAAAGGAAAAAACTGCGATTATAAAAAAAAAAATGCTATTTAAAACAAAAAAAACAATTTTAAAAAATATCTCACCACATTAGATGCAAAAAAGTATTAGTTTTTTCAATACCTTTTTGCAAGTCACACCACATGCAATACTTCTTTTTCTATTAGACAGTAACATTAAAGCACAATAGTATTGAGTAACATTAAAGCATTTTAAATTAAGAAAATATCAACTCTCCTGATACAATATCAGCAGCAAGTTGGAATTTTTACATGTAATGGTCAACAGTTTCATCTTTTTTCCAGAAGGAAATAGTATAAATTCTGTCTTCTTTTCTTTTATTGACTTTTTCTACTTTCCCATCATAAATGACATACTTGCTATTATCTGTATCAAACCATTCATGGCAGAGTTCTCTTTCAACAATTCTTTCATACATTAAATCATATAAGTCATCAAGTTGCTTAGTAGACAAGTGCTCATATAAATTCTTTATTTCATTAAAAGATAGCGAACTCAGCTCTTGCTCCATTTTCCTTTTTTCTTTTTCACCCATTTTTTGCCTTTTGTATGTCTGTCTTTTTGAAATCTCTGCTCATAATGCAGTATAATTCAGTCAATTTGCTATTCTTTTTATACGAGCTGCTTTAATAGACCACTTAACTACATTTTCTCTCTCTATTTGGTCAAGACTATCAAGATAATCTAGTCATATTCTTTTTAAATCGCAATTTGCAAGATATATAACAAATAGCTGCATTCGGGATCTCCCTTTAGCTTCACTAAACATACCCATCAACTCTTCACTATCTTAATTTATCACTATCAAATTTAAATTAGTCATCCATGGCCCATTGAGAAGTTTTCCAAATAAACCACGAATACACAGTTTTATAGCAGTTGTGTTACAAAATACAGTAGTGTTAAAAATTGGAATAAATTGAAGCCATATTATCCACTGCATTACCTATATGTTTTTTATAATCATCAGACAATTATAATCAAATTTTCATCATAATCAGACAATCCAGGCAATTGGTCCAAAGCAATGACCTGACATTTATTGTTTGACCTTAAGTGGACACTGTTAATATGAACACCTTTCTGCATGGTGGCGTCAAACCCAAGAGTAAGATTTGTATTGCAGATGGCCCACTCTGCAGCTTGCATGTCAGATATGCAACCAACCTCACGAGCCATTTGCTCAACAGTAATACGCTTGGGAATATGCAACAAACCAACACTAAAATATTGTGCAGTTTTTTCCAATAGGAAAAGAATGTTACCTGTTGGAACATTACACAATAAAATGCTATAGATTATCATTCTAGATTGTATTTAGTAAGCTTTATTATCTCCTGACGTAACTGAAGCAATACAACCAACCTCCTCCATTTAGGTCATATCATTTTCTAATCTAGCAATTTCAATTTTATTTTCTCTACTAACAGTATTATGTTTGAGCATTACTTGTCTTAGCTGTTCTCTAACTTCAATTTTCATTTTCTTTTTTTCATTACAAGATTGTGAATATACCTATTGCAGTAACATGATTTAAATTTTTTGTTTCAAGTTTCTAACTCCAGCTCTCGAAGCTTTTATAATTTCTTTTTTACTTTAAATGCTTAAACTTTAAACGTCTTTAAACTTTTATTTTGTAGGACATGTTGTTCAATTCAGATTTCAATAATGCTATCTTATAACGTTGTTTTTTAGAAGAGTTAGCTAATTGTAATGTCAAATAAAATAACCAACTCTGTAACTTTTTTTTTGTAAGAGTCATTTTTTCTCGTAAAATATGCAGATTTTGTTTATTTTTGCTATTGCTTGTGGGAGTTAGCTTTGCACTACTTACTGGAGATATAAAACTGATATTTTCTGATGATACAATTGAAGAACAAGATACAGTATCAATTGCACTAGAGGTAAGTGGCAATGACTGTGAGACTGTTAGCACCAGGGCATGGAACACAAATGGCTTGTTGCAAAAGTCAGCTACATTAGTGGCATTTCTTGAAAAGTTATAAGACCGTTTTTTTACTACACTAAAAAGTTTTTGGATTTGATTTTTGCAAGTGTTAATGCTAAAATGCTTATAAACTTGTGCAACAGTTTTATTAAATAACTCTCCGTTGTTAATAAATATAAATAGTATATGCCCACTTCTACAACCAATGCTCATTTTGGTAGCCAATGTAAAGTTAGCAATTATATATTTTTTTAAATTGCCAATAAGCATCATTTTTGTCTTAGGAGGCATGATACCTTTAAAAATTATAAAGTTATTTAATTGCATAACTAATGAGCAATAGGATAACTACATAAATATAAAAAAATATAAAAATGAGGTAAGTGAAAGTACAATAAAAGTTTTAAATACTGAATACTTTTAGTATATGCACAACAGTTGGGTTTAAAATTTGAACTCTAAACAATTTCTATATAGCACAGAATTATGTTAATTTCTTTTTTGGTTAGATAAAGATAAAGTTCTACATAATGGCACATAAAAGCACTTAGATTTTGACCTTTTTATTTATATTTTTTAAATTATCATAACACCTTTTAACTTCAAGTTTAACATTTAAAGTAATGTAATCACAAGTTAAAACTGTGATTATATCACAGGCATGATTACATCGGATATGTCATAAGTTAAAACAGACATCCTAAACTCTTAAGAATGAGTTACTTTATGTAGATCTTCAAATCAACTAACTTAAAACCTTTTTTTAAAAATACAAAATGACAAATAATTCCTGATATAATACACTGACTAATTTTATAAAGTGCTTTATTATCTAAAATATAATTTTTTTATAATTAAGTAATTTTTTATAATTAAGTTTGATATAATTAAGTAATAAGAATAATTTTTTTATATTATAAAAAAAATTGTTTGTAAATATATATTAATTAAACCTTTAGGCTCTACTCTTTCATCAACAACGAATGGATAACTCATTATAATTTAAGTAAATTAAATCTAAATCATATTAAATTGAACAGTTATCTATATTTGTATCAGATTATATTGCTAAATGTTGTTAATGAAATCCCCCTCATCCGCCCGGCGTTAAACTGTTAAAGAAAAAATTAGGTACCAAAAGTGCTAGTTAAAATAAGGAATGTGCTAATCAAAATAAAGCAATAAAATTTGGCAGGTGCATAAAAAGTATGTAAACTTAAAAATGAGAATAGGTAGGAAAATTTACTGACCATTTTTTCAAGGTTTACTAAACGTCTAAAGTATTACCAAGTTTTGGATGTAAATAAATTACCTTAAAAAGTTTGTCATTGTAATCAAAAGACACATAGAAATAAAGTTTAATTACTCTAGATTTTAAAAAATAACTATGTTAATATGAAATTCTAAAAAATAAGGCTACAAAACACCATTCTATCATGCATGTCAACACCAAAGTCGAAAAAACGGAGAACAGTTTTTTGGTATAAAACTCGGTACCGTGAAACGCGTATTTCTACGTACCTAACAATGTAGGATACGTTTAAGAATATAGCCAAAATACTAAAGCAAATATATATAAGTTTGAATCAAAAAGTTTTTGTTTACTTTAAATTAATTAAAAAGATGTTTCCTAATATAGAGATTTTGGAAAGTATAAACTTCTTGGATGAAACATTATTCCCTTCTAACATTTTTATTAAATTACCAGACCCCTAATATGTTACCTACTTAAAATAATTTATGAAAGTAGGTCAACCAGAATCTCAAAATAACCGCAATTAGAAGAAGTTTAGATAGTATTAACTTTGATTAATTGAACAAGACGTTTTTCAATCCATCAAAATTATACTCTCTAAAGTTGTGCAACTCCATATATTGTTTATATATATATATATATATATATATATATATATATATATATATATATATATATATATATATATATATATATATATATATATATATATATATATATATATATATATATATATATATATATATAAACTATTTTTTATGTAGGCTTAATTGCTGGTCTAAAGATGTTTGAATATATGCAGAATTTATTCAGCAAATCATTATGCAAAGTTATCTATAGAAGATTTAATAGCAAAAAATATACTCAAGGTTTTAACATGGAGAATGGCATCAGAGAATATTTTTATTATATTGATCATCAAGGGCAGGTTAAGCACATAAATATACATACAAAATTTTAAATTTGCATTGCTTATAGCTTATTTATTAGGATAAATTCGAATAAAGTTAAATATTTTTGTACATTATTTTTAGTTTTGAATTTAAGTATTCAAAAAAAAAGATGTTTACTAGTTCATTTAATTCACATCATCCTTTAAGTGGGTTAAATTGACCAACAAAATCTTAAGTTTTTGTTATTATTGTTGAATAAAATTTTTTTGTAAATTATCCTCCTGCTTCTTTGATTTTTTCTTACAGTTTTTTTTTTTTTTTTTTAATTTTGTTATCTTTTGAATGTCTTGGTTATTTTCAAAGTTACTGTCTAGAGGTGCTACAATTTCTTGAACATTTAAACTATTTGTTAACCTATCATTAGCAACTAGTAAATCATCTGAAGTGTAACTTAGAGGGATAGTATCAATAAAGCAAATTTTTTTCTGAGAACTAGGTTGTTCATAGAATTATAAAATAGATAATTTATTAGATGTTGCACCTTTTTTAAATATGAATAACTTTTATAACCATATGCTGAAAAATTACTAAAAGTTGAGCATAAGCAATCAATTCATTAGTTCCACAAGAGAGTCTAGTAATGAAATAATTTAAATTAAAATCTTTATTGCATTTGTCAATAGATCCCAATACTTACTTTAGGTTCCAAAGTATATATAAGGCTAGGAGAAAACAATTTTCATAAGCAATTTTTATATTTACTTTTAGCAGTTCAATTTAAGCTTTATTTTATGTATATGTATATATATATATATATATATATATATATATATATATATATATATATATATATATATATATATATATATATATATATATATATATATATATATATATATATATATATATATATATATATATATATATATATATATATATATATATATATATATATATATATATATATATGTATATATATCTTGTGACTAAAATAGTCCTTGCTGCCATTAGCCTTTTAATGTTTTTTAGAACTTTAAATTTAGGCAAAGAGTAGGGGAGAGCAGGTAGGATTCGTACAGTGGGAACATTCGTACAGTATGCATTCGTACAGTATATTTATGTGTGTGTGAAGACCACTCATGCACAAAGGCTAACAGCTTAGTGCCGTGGCAGTGCCATCGTAATCGTTATTGGAACAAGTCGATATGTGTTTAAAATTACTTTAGCACTGCTAAAGTAATTTTAGAATTAATCTTTGAAAACATTTATTCGTAATAATTTTTGATCCAATTAATAGAATAATTTATTATGCTTTTTGTGTAAGTGTCTTAGATTAATATTTAGACAATAACTTTCTAATAACCTTATCCGTTATTTTTATTTTGAATTTATATGTTAGTTGTTATGGTTGGGGCACATTTGTACAGTAGTTAGTGGGAAGGATTTGTACTGTAAATACGTATGAAAAAATCTGTAAATACGTATGAAAAAACCTGTAAATATGTATGAAAAAACCAGCTCGTTCTTTTGCATTTAAACAGACAGCTGTAACTGATTTCTATGAGAACCTAGAATAGCTTTTGATAAAATATGTATTCTCTGCAGATGGGATTTATTATTTTATTTTTATTATGTTTAATAATTATTTTGTTTCAATTTTAATCTTAATGTTTTTTTTCAATAAATATATTTTTAACTTAATAAAGTACCGAACGAAGAACTGAACAAAGCTACCCAGCATGTGGGGTGCATTTGTATAATCTCCATTTTTTTGCAAAAGTCATTAGTACAGCCTTATTTGTTTTTTTAAAACTAAACTACATTATTATTAAAGCCAGATGTTTAGGTTACTCAGCAGCATTAAACTTATTTTAAAATAGCAATTATTTTTGCTTTTATATGACTTGTTGTAAAAAGTGTTTGAATCCTACCTGCTTTCCCCTAAGCATATTCTGTGACATATTTTCAAAATTGCAAGTTTTAGCATATTAAGACTGGTCTCAAAATATAATTTGCTTTTAAAAAAATAAGATGTCCAGAAAATTATTATAATTAATTTTGTAATAATTGCAGTTGTTTTGCAACCAGGAAGTTGCATCACCTACATTAAAATTAAAAGATTAATCATAAAAAGAATACTTTACAATTAGGATAGTTTTAGTTGGTTATTTGTTTTTATAATTTTATAAAGGTACTTATTTTTGTGTCTGCATTTAGAAATTAATTCAGATTTTTTGTTTAGTAAATTTTCTTGATCAAAACGAGTAATAATTTCAAGTTTTTCTTGTTTTTTTATTTATACATTTACAAGTATATATTTTTCAGAAATGTTATCATAGGCAGGCACAGCTTTTAGGATAGACCAGTTTTAATTTTTTTTCTTTTAGTTGTAAAAGATATTTGACAGCATGGTCTCTTTTGAGTATTTTTTCCATTCGCCCTCGGTTAAGCCAATATATTGTTTATCAGGTCTGTTTTGTGAGGAAACAATGCATTTGTAAATAATATTTTTTGATAAGCGTTTGCCATTCATAGGGCAAGTTAAAATTAAAATTAAATGTATATTTTCCTTCGGTAGCCAGATGTTTAGGTTTTATAAACTACTGTAAAAAAAATTACTTTTACAGGTTCGAAACTGTATTTTCAGAAATACAGGGTTACCTAGTTCATTATTATTACTTCAGGAAAATACAGGGTTGCCAGACATCTGGCAACCCTGTATTTTCCTGAAGTAATAATAATGAATTAGGTAAAATTAATAGTAAATTTTTTATGTATTTAGTCGTGCATTGATAACAAAAACATCAATATTTTTTCTTTTTATGTTTTTTTTTTTTTTTTTTTGATACTTTAATATAAAAAATATTGTAAATAAAGGGGCATCCATTAAGTACGCATTCAGTAAAATCACTGGTTTAGGACATCCCTTCACCTTCCACCCCCCTTGTACCCACTTGTATGCTTTTAACTTCCCCCTCCCTCCTTTTGCTTATGTATGTATTATTTTTCACAAAATCAATTCCCCTTACCCAAGGCATAGTTTAGCAAAACAATAAATACAAAAAAACTTTTAATTAACTTGACATTTCTCTATTAAGTAACAATATATTGATTTTTTAAACTCATGAAATTAAATGCTTTTGTTTAGAAACAAGAGATAGTGAAACTGCGTACATACACTCTGTCTTTAATGCACGCACACACACACACACACACCCTTGTACGCATTCCTACGATTTTGAGTGCAATCCTCCCCCCCCCCCCCCCCTCCTCCTCCTTCTCATCCTCCTTTCCCACACCATATGTATTTTATGGAAGACCTAACTATGTAATTTATGAACAAATATAAAATAGACTCATGATCAATTCTTTAAACTATAGCTATAATGTCATAGCAATATAATTTAACATATTTTTTTAGCTTTTATTACTAATTTCAGTTATTTCTGGATGGAACGAAAATTCGTAATTTTGTCACTTGCTTTAAAGGTAATTTTAAAACATTTTACATAAAAAAGTATTTTTAAGATATAGTCAGGGTTGCTATGTGTTGCTATGTTTCTTAATTATTTTTTACCATAGAAAATGAAAGGAATAATAGCCTATTATTTTTAAAATTTTTGCTTAAGTTCTTACATTTTTAATGTTGTGAGAAATAAATTTTTATTCTTTTTAAGGTTTTACTGTGTTGTTTATTTGTTTATGCTAATAAATGACACATTGTTTACATTGGTTATGTTTCATATACATATACATATATACATATATGTATATATATATATATATATATATATATATATATATATATATATATATATATATATATATATATATATATATATATATGTATATGCATCTCATGTATAAGTATGTATGTATATATATATATATATATATATATATATATATATATATATATATATATACATATTCGAAATTTTTACTTATTTATATATTGAATAATAATAAAGCATAAAAATATAACATTGTATTGATAACAGTTCAAAAATAATTGCAAAACGTCTAATATATAACAATATTGACTCATAAATGTCCATCATTTTTTTGTGTCCATCGGCTTTTCTAATTATTGTAATTTTAATTAGAATAAGTCGTTATTCATAATATTTATTCACGTGACCTTTCTTTTATTAATAATATTGGTGTTGTTATTATTATTATTATTATAATTATTATTATTATTATTATTATTATTATTATTATTATTATTATTTAGGCGCAAAAATATTAAAGATGTTTTTTAGTGTAAAATAAATTGTAAAATATATATTAGACAAAGCCTTTCTTGTATTCTTCTACAAAAGGATAAAGACAAATAATGACGGGAAGTATTCTGATGATTACCCTTATATCTCCCCATGTGGTTTGGAAATGAACTACGTCCGTTGTGAAAGCAAACCAATCGTATTTACTGATATATTTGAGGTACAAAATCAGGACTTTCTGACATTCAATGGCCTCGGTGATCTGATTACTTTACCATTCCAACCTAGTAAACTGTTTATGTTTCCATCGACCGGTCGAATCTATCATCCTGCAGCTGAAAAAGTAGGAGGCGTTGGAATTTTAAAAACAAGTTTGGCAGTTCAGCTAAGCTCAGGTTTTGTTTTCTCAGAGTATAGTAATAATTTCTGTCCAACTCACTTCATTTGGAAAGGTGAAAAGATTTTACTTGATAATTCATTGTCTACTACGCTACAAAGTCAAGATGTTCATCCGGAGTAATATTGGCTTCGGCACTACCTAGCGTCGTTCCCTCATTTATTATTGTGTTAAATTTTAATAAATTTTCTTTTTCTTTTGAACCCAAATTATGTCTCTAGTATGATTGTAAATTTTATGGTAACAGCAGGTAACCCTGGTAACAGCAGGTTAGCATGGTAACAGCAAAACAGATTCAACCAAGCAAACAACAGCAGATCAACCCAGACAGCAATCAACCCAGAGATTTTTAGAAGTACTTATAGAATTTTTAACATTAGTTTTAATAAAAAATATGATACAGTACAATGGTTCTAATTTTGACTAGAACTAACTGTTTATTGTGACAAACGACTCTATATATTTTAATTGCAACACTAATGATTTTTTTTTCTGGATTGCTTTATTTCCTAAACTATATTATCTATACAAGGAGTGAATGATTGATATTAATCGGTTTTGATTGGGGATTTTTTCTGAAAATCACATTTTTTTAAATTTACAGTCAAACGCTGTTGCGTATTGGTTTTGAAAAAATTGTAAAAAAGGTTTTCTTAAGCCCCCAAGCATCCTTTACCTTGGTACGTTATCGACTCGTGAATAATGTTGTTAGAGTATTAAAAATTATTCAAAATCTCAAAGCTATTTAGTTAGTTGTTAATTTTATTAACTTATTAAATTTCAAAATATCAGAAAGCATGGATCGTATATTAACTTTTAATATACTTGTACCAAATAAGCATGAATTGTATACTAAAACCCAACCTGTGTCCTAGTTGAGTACATTATTTTTTTTTTTTTATGTCTTATATTTAATTGTGTTTCAAAATTTATTTTTGTTGTTAAAGTTTTATTTGCATTTTTTTTTTGTAATTTGTTTAAGGGGATATTCTTTTTCTTGACGGGAACAAATAATAGGTAACGTAGTAAGCAGGTCTAGCGCGTTGTGCTACGCGTCACTAAGCTAAAATAAGAGTTGTTAAAATTTACCTAAACTTCACTTTTCTGTTATTTTTTAAGGCAGAATTAGGTTAATAGTTCCTAATTTAAAAAAAAAAAAAAAATTTTTTAAAAAGGGGGAATTTCAGGGTTAATAAAACACGTATTTTTAATAAATTTTTGAATGGCTTATGATGAAAATCAAACTTCTGTATTAGAATAATATATTTTTCAACTTAATGATATATTAATTTAATTGAAAACCAAGAAAAGCTAAAAAAAAAAGTTTGCGTAATAGTTTTTTCTTGTTTAATTCTGCAAACAATAAAGAATTGAATCATGTTATTACAGAGGTGGCCAATTTTTATCGGATAAAAGTTTTATGCAACAAATCGACTTTTTAATAATAAAAAAACATTCTAACTACACCTCTGTAGTAAGATACTTCAATTCATTTTTAGTGCGTAAACTCTATAGAGAACCGATTTGGATTATTCTCCTGAAACCTTTATTATTCATTGTTATAAAAAACAAAATGATATAGTAACTAAACATGTTTAATATTGAAAACTATCAGTTTACAACACTTTTTTATATTCGCTAAAATGGATAAATGGTGTAAAAGTTTTTTCAAATTCTGTAAAAATTATTTCAAACAATGTAAAAAAAATTTTAATATCATTATTTCTTGTGTAAAAATTATTTCTAAATGTTCAAGGGATCTTGGATTAACAACCATTTAGTAGGAGTGCGACCCTTAGTGAAATAGAGTTGTGAGTTTCCTCTCCCCTTCATAGTTTAATAAATCCGCAAACCTTGCAGCAGTGGCGCAGTAGTAGCGCACTTGCCTCAGAAACAAAAGATCTGTGTTTCGAACCTCACCTCTGGGCAAGTTTTGCGACATCGGTTAGAAAGAAGACATGAAATTCCTATTGCTCTTCCGCGGTGCTCCGTAATAGACCGTAAGGATTTCTTGGGGCACCTCAAAAAATTAAAAAAACCTTGATTTTTATTAATGAGTCAGCAAGTTATGATTTTTTTTTTTGACTTAACGCGTCGAAAATAATAAAAGCTAAATCAAAATTTACCCAGCGGGATTTGTTTTTAAAAGTTACGTTCTAAATGTATTTTAAATGTCTTTTAAACGTTTTCTAAACATTCCTACGTAAAGAACATTTAAACGACGTAAAAATAGTTTAAAAGACATTTAGAACGTAATTTTCAAAAACAAATCCCTGAAGGGTAAGGTATTCTTCGCGCGTCAATATGTCATTTGCTGTAAGGCAAACAAAACGTTATTTTTAATCAAATTGATTTAATGGCATATTGGAACCATTAAAAATTAGATAAATGATGAAAAGTTTGAAAATAGTGTCTATCTTTTTCTGTGTTGCAAAGTACAATGGATACCTGCGAAAATATATACATCTTGTATTTTGTAATTATATAGATATATAACTGTGTCCAAATTTTTTTTGCGCAGTGGTTAGAGTTCTGTATCAGAACCAAGATGTTCGAGATGTCCGCTCTGGTCAGTTAGACGATATTCGCACGGAAACATGGCATGGACTTCCTGGTTAAATGCACTTCCGCGGTACCCTAATAACTAATAATTTGTGCGGCCGTGGCGCAGTGGTTAGAGAGCTTGCTTTAGAGGCAGGAGATCCAGGTTTGAAACGAACTTTGGACATATATTTGGGTCACGGAAAGAAAGGAGTCATGAACTCCCTAATAAAATTCACTTCCGTGGTGGTCTGTGACAACACCGTTAGGACTTCTTGGAACACCTAAATAACAAAAGCAGCCGTGGTGCAGTGGTAGCACACTTGCCTCAGAAACGTAAGATCCGTGGTTCAAACCCTACCTCTGGGCAAGTTTTGCGACATCGGTTGGGAAAAAAGGCGTGAACCTCCTATTAAATGCTCTTCCGCGGTGCTCTGTGATAAGACCGTTAGGACTTCTTGGAGCACCTAAACTCAACATTAAAAAAAAAAAAATATAATATAACGATAAACAGCATATCGTGTAATGCTATTTTCGTATTTTTCGTTGACTCTTGTTATATATACTGTAATTATCTTTATAATCTTTTACTGTACTGATATACCTTGTCACCATTTAAAGAATTATGATTTCTATGTAATACTATGTTTGATGACAGTTTTTAGTTGCTCGTTATCTTATATTACAGTATCGTATTATCACAGAACCCAGTGAGCATGCGTCGTCCGGGGAACGCCCGAGAGACGACTGACGGGCGTCCCCCGGACAACGCGTGCCCACTGGGAAAGTTTAATAACTTTTTTTGCAATCTATTATAATTTGTATTGGAATATTGTATTGGCATTGCTTTTTTATTCTTTGTTCAATAGCAAGTTTCAAAGGATATTGTATCAAATTAATTAGCAAAGTTAGTACGTTGTAAATAAGGTTTGTGGAGTAAAACCAAGATGTTCGAAATGTCCGCTCTGGTCAGTTAGACGATATTCGCACGGAAACATGGCATGGACTTCCTGGTTAAATGCACTTCCGCGGTACCCTAATAACTAATAATTTGTGCGGCCGTGGCGCAGTGGTTAGAGCGCTTGCTTTAGTCATTTCATTTCCGTTTACTCAACTATGCCGTTTACTCTTTCTTATTTAAACAATTTGAAATCTCAGACGTTTTGTCTAGTGAGCGCTTATGCATCAACCTCAGACTATCTTCAACAACTTACTAAAATTGAAAAGGAGATAAAACCTTATTTTTACTAAAATTAAAAAGGAGATAAAAGATTATTTTGAAAACTTTCCCTATCATCTTCCCAATCCCAATTATTTTTACTGTTTCACATTTTTAAACTTTAGTAAAAGTAAACCAAGCCAAAAAAATATTAGTATATTATATTTTTTATTTATTATTTATATTTTCGTTTTCATATATTATATATAATTGATAGTACAATCTGCAAAGACCATTGCTAAAATCATCCAAGCCCAAGTTTTACTGTTCTAAATCAATAAACACTAAAAAAATTAGTTTAAAATCCACGTATTTTTTTTTTCAATTTTTATTCAAAGAAAAATAAGATTTTTAAAATTTTTGTATCTTTTAATAAAAAAAATGTCATTTAAATAGTTAAAATGTTTCAACATAATAATAATAATAAAAAACTATTTAGCTCCTCGGAATCATTACAATTTCAAATTCGTAAGGAAGACATGTAACACCAGAGCGACCATCTAAGGAAGGTAATTCTTTTCCATTTGGCTTTTCAAATCTATAGTCTTTTACTAACCGCGAGATAAACACAAATAGTTCTGTTTTTGCCAATGTTTCTCCTAAACAACTGCGAGGTCCACCAGAAAAGGGCAAATATGCATAACCTAAATTATAATTAAAATTGCCCGAATTATCTAGCCAACGCTCAGGAAAAAAATTTATTGCATTTTTCCAATAACACTCATCATGATGTATACTTCATAAGTTAGTCAGAATAAGAAGCTCCCTTGGGAACAAATTTCCCACAAATACTACCGTTCTCCATTGCTTTATGACATAAACCGAGTGGTGCTACCGACAACAATCTAAGTGTTTCATGAGTTATGGCTTGAATTAAATGAAATCTAGGACGATCGTTTAAGGATGGATACCCGATACCGGAAAATACTTTAAAAATTTCATCATAAAGTTTATCTTGATATTCTGGCCTGTGTAAAATATAAACAATAAACCAAAGAATCATATTTGATGAGGTTTCCGATCCGGCAATCATAAAATCATTTAAAAGGAACTCAGTATTATCGTCAGTGATTTTTTCATGAGAATCTGTTTCCGTCACTGATTCTAAAGATATTTTTATTAAAGCGTCAGTCACATCACCCAAATTACTTTAGTCATACGTTCTTTTGTGTTCTTGTAGTTTTCGTATCAAAATTGGATCTCGAAGTCTTATTATTTCAAATATATTATATTTATTTTTATTTAATATTATCATATTTCGAGATGTAGCCGTTGGGAAATAACGCAACCATGGGATAGATGATATGTAACTAGTTTCGTTATGTGTTTTTATGATATCCTGAAACTTCTGTTGATTGTTCATCATGATAACATCATGATAACATCATGATAACATCATGATAACATCATGATAACTCATGATGAAAGTTTGGGAGCCGGAGCCGATTATTTCTTAGAAGCCGGAGCTGGAGCCATGCCGCAAAAAAACAGTCGGCTTCACAAGTCAATTTTTTAAATTATTTTTTCGGCTTCACAAAATTAAAACCTATTACATTATTCAAAAATAATCCGTTATAATGAAAATACCTTTTATCCAACTGTAATGTTTGATTTGATACAACTTTGATACTAGTCCATATTTACTATTGTGTTTTAAAATTGTAAAGGCACTGGTAATTGAGCTATAGATTAATATTTTTTGTTGCATGGATAGTATTTTGTGCCGTTGTTTGACAATGTTGTACTTCAACCAGATTATCCTATTCATCGAAAAAGAATTCGCAAAATATTTGTCAATAATGGAGATCGTTTAACTTAAATGACTATAGACTGTGCACAATTTCAAAAAGTTCAACACAATTTTAAACTGCAAATTTTAATTTCAGCACTCTTGAGTTTCCTCACTATAATATAACAAACTGAATAAGTATTATGATATTTGATGTATAATGGTATTTCAGCACATGGAAGTTGTATTTTTCAGCAATATTTACATATATATACTATTTAATACTAGATAGTGAAAACTAGTGTGGTACATTAAGCTTTTGAATTTTTTCCAGAAAATGCACAACAAGAATTTCGACTCAAGTTTCTTTGTTTAGCCATGAGTCTGAATTTTTCTAAATTTTATTATAAGCTATATATTTAATAGGATCAGTTATGTATTATTTCTAAATGGTAATATTTATTTCAATTAAATTTCTTTGTATATGTTGCTGAATATCATTATAAATAAGTTAAAAGGAAAGTTGAAAGGTTTTCGTTGCTTGAACATATTTCTTGTTATTATTTATATAACAAATTTAGTAAAATAATGTTTTTAGTAGGTTTTGTAGCAGTATAACTTTTTTTTCCATTATGCAAATAATATCACAGTAAACTTTTTGTGACCTAAAGAAGTTAGTATTATAAGTTTAGTTTTCTTTAATATAATAACAACGCATTTTTATAAAGAAAAAGCATCGAAAAGAAGGCATTTTTATAAAGGGATAGTAGAGATAGTGATGTAAATTTTACAATTAAGATAAAACATTGTGACAGTGTAGTTCAAAATTTTGTTTCCTTCATTTTTGACTTGATATTTTATTTTTATAACAATTCTCTGGAATTTCTAATTTTCTAGGTTTATGACAAAAACTGTTTTGTGCTCATTTTTTTCATATTTATGACAATAACTGTTTTGTGTTTATATGTTTGATTTTGGTTAGACAGGGTTAGTTTTGTGTTTATATGTTTGATTTTGGTTAGACAGGGTTAGTTTTGTGTTTATATGTTTGATTTTGGTTAGACAGGGTTAGTTTTGTGTTTATATGTTTGATTTTGGTTAGACAGGGTTAGTTTTGTGTTTATATGTTTGATTTTGGTTAGACAGGGTTAGTTTTGTGTTTATATGTTTGATTTTGGTTAGACAGGGTTTTAGAAAACAAGCTTTTTACTTTGACAATATCATTTTTGAACTCATGATATTTTTTCCTTTGCTTCATGAAAGTTTTTTATAAATAATAACAATAAAAGGACATATCAACTTTTTATTGAAACCAATAATTCAAAAATAACATTATTGAAACCAGCAAAATATCAGTGGAATCATATTTTTAAATAAAACTACAGCAGGAAGAATTTTTGTCCGTAAGATTTTTATAACTAACAAGTAACATGAACATCAGGTGAACTAAAATCCGTTTTAAAAGTCACAGTTTTTCTGGTTGTCCAAAACTGCTTTCTCTTATAATCAAAGTATAATTTTTAAAAATAGATGAAGTTATAGAATGATACATTGAGTCTTCTTTGATTAAAGAGATAGTTTAAGGCGGGATGCTTGTAGAATCCAAAAAAACTTCGACTACAAAACGTCATTACGCCTTTTATTTTGGTTTTTATGCACGGAAAGGATACTGTTTAAATCTATATATTCTGATCCGCAACTCGTGTAAGATGTAATTTGTAGATAAGCAATGGTCTAAAAATCATTTTATCAAAGGACAAAAGATTAATCAGGTGTATTTTTACATACTTAGTTTTTATTTTATACAGTTAATGAATAAATTATGAACAACAAATAATTACGGGTGGCACTATTATATTCATTTTTGGAATGGATATAATTCTTTTTATTAAATAAACGTTATACGACGTTGACTTCGTACAACGCAATTTTACGGAGGAACTTTGTCGCTAATATTTTCATATATGAGAAGCGATATCGTTACGGGTACGGTTTTAAACATTTTTCTGGCGTTTTAGCTCTGAACCTTTTGGGCGGAAATATAAAAAGTAGTTATACAATAAGTATTTAATTAAATTGTAACAATTACGTTCTAGTATTTTTATTTATTACTATGACCAGGACCTTCCCTAGATGGGCGCAGCGGTAAATTTTTTAACGATTTCTTTTATTTACGCAAAAGCAATTTTTTTCGAGTTGTTTGTTTTAACTTTTTTTTTTTATAACTTTGATTATTAACGCCGACCGAAAGTAATTTAATAAAAATGTTGTAATAAAAAGGGTTGCAAACTGTAATCAATATTGACCTTAATTATGAATTTAAAAAATTACATCACAAAGAGCTTATGTTCCCAGAAACGAAAATAAAGTTTTATTCTGTTAATTTGAATTTGAATGTTTATTTATTGAAAATGTCAAAAAAAACTGATAGGTTCTGAAAGAAAAAAATTAGCCAAGGACTCTGAAACAGCCCATAAAACTTTTTTGAGAAAAGTGCCAAAATTAACACATTCTTTTCATTTTCCAAGTTCTTCACAACAACTAAATGTTTTTGTGTGACGAAAACTCCTTAAAAACATCTAGTGAGACCTCCACTCTGTCTCAATCTAACCAAGGAAAAATAATGTGATTAACCCTCTGTTGTGTGATTTTCAGCTAGTTTGACCACATGTTCGTCAACTTCATCCTTGAACATTTGTAGCCTAAAATCTCAGGAAGCACATATATATTGCATTCCGAAGGGCCGACGAAACAAGTTTTGAAGTGGAGGGAGGGGGGGCACAATCATCAATTTGTCAAAAAAGTCCTCAATATCAAGATTTTTCTTGAAAAAAAAATAAATAAAAAGGTTCTTTATAAAAAAAAAAGGGGGGGGGCACTTACCTCCTGACAGCCCCCCCCCCCCTCCTCCGTGTCGTCGGCCCTGTTCCGTGGAAGCTCATCAAAGCTGTACACAAAAAATAATAGTAACTTCCTTGGTCTTATCAAATTACTTAGTAAATGTTGATTCAAATTTGATGGAAGATTTACGCAAATAGAAGATGGAGAAAGACGTTTACAAATGCTAAGTGTCAATATTCAAAACTAGGTCATTCATGGCCTACTTAAATTACACGGCCTGATTTGTTGCATTTTCCGTAAAAAATTAAGAGGCCAGTTTTTTTACGGCTCAAGTATAAAAACTTAATTTTTGTTATGGTTAAGAGTCTTGTTTGCGCAATAATTATTTTATTTTTATTTTATTAAAATGGTTTAATAATAGTTAGATTTTCTTTGAGTACTTACATTAATTTGTTGCTAGATTTTCTGTTAACTGATTGCCTGCTTCAGTTTATTCCAACAACACAGAATACTGAAATAGGCTTCCAGATAACTATATCAACCCATACCAACATGCTACTAAAAATAATCTCTCATGTTGCTTAGATTGCCTAAAACTCTCCATTGAGCAAAAAAAAGGTGTGTAGTTTTGTATATTTTATAATTGAAATAAAAAGAAGAAATACATTTTTGCTAGAAATGTTTATTTTGTCTTTTTTGGAATTCTTTTACTTAATCTTTTTTAAATGAATATGTAATTTTTTTGTGCAAATTACTATAAAAAATATAATAGTATTTTTTATATTAATTTGCAATACAATACGAGATCTATATTTGATTCCCATTTTTGGTGGTTTTTATTTGTAAAATTGAAACTGCTAGATCAAATCTTTAAAATTTGTTTCACAAATTTTTAATTAAAAAAGAATGACTGCAATGTTTTATTGGAATAAGAGAAATAACATAAAATACTAAAAAGATGACAAATAAAGTTAGAGGTTGAATTGAATATATAAGTTCTTCTCTTTATAAAGTAATGTTTATTGATCATAAGTTTAACATCAAAATCTTTTTGTTAATTTTTACCATTATTACTTGCTTTAGTATATATATTTGTGTTATCTTCAGAAAGCTGACAGTAGTATTATGTAGACAACTAAGCAATATCTTGCATAATATTTTTTAAGGATTATCAAAATTCTGGTAAACATTTTCTGGGAAAATCTGCCAAAATCTTTTTACTTATGCACATTTCTAAAAGGCTCACAAAAAGTCTACTATTGGGCATTTAACTATACTTAATAAAACCTAGCTCCAAAGGATCTTTTTGTAAATTAACTATAAACAAATGTAAAGCCTTCTTCAAGGAAATCATGCATAAGAAATACAATTGCGTGTAGTGTTGTAATTAGAGCACAATAAGTTTGTTTGGTTAATGTCAGGTATTTATCAAATTTCAGTACAATTTGCAATTTCTCTATAAAGTGTGGGTTTGTTATCACCTTTCAAAGCAGCATTGCTGATTTTGATTAGATGAATTAAGTTTCTGCTTTGAATTAAGTATGATAAATAACTTATAAAACAATGATAATTGTGCTGCGTTATTTCTTTCAGAAAAATAACTCTAAATTAGCAGTTGTAGCTGCAGTTGTTTTGTCAAATATTGTCGATGTTGACAACTTGTTTGTTGTTACCAAAATATGTGATTTGATAATTAATTTTTCTTGCTTTTTCTTGCTTGTTTAATAAGTGATCTTTTATTAAACTTTAAGAAATATATTCCCTGCAATGTAATCAGCAGTAACTTCAACAAGAAGAAAAAAACAAAAACCGCGTTTATCAAATAACAAGTATATTTTAAACACTCCTTTTCTAAACTAAATGATAAATTAATAATTTTTTATCTCCAGTATATGCTTTATGAAACTATAAAAATGCATTAACATTTGTAAAATGGTTATCGTAACAATAGTTCTTATCTTAAATTTAGATTGGTGCATTGAGGTAATACACTCATCAATTTCTTTTTTCAAACATAAACCTGTTATGTAAACTTTAGGTTATGATTTCAAAACATAAGAATAAATTTTTGAAGCCCTACAATCATAATAACAAAAACAAATTCTTTATAAAGATTGTTTTCTCAATCTTCATCAAAATGTTTACCACTTTGGGCTGCTTTTTGGAAGTAAACCTTACCCACAAGAAGCAAATAATCTCTTAATACCAAATTTTTGTCAATGATTTTTCTAATATATTATAGTTTTTCAATTTGTATTTTTTACCACTGCGAAACCATTTAAATAAAGAAGAATGATAACCATTTATTTGGCAATGAAAAAAATTAGAATTTTATTAACAGCTATTGACTCCAAAACAGTGGGTATGCTTGATATTTCTTGGCTACTGTAAATAAATAGCCTGATTTGTTACATTTTAATTGCTGTATGTTTAACACATGCAGCATAATAAAGTATTTACAATGCAAAACCTTGTTTTGCAGTGTAAATAATTTAAAGAAAAGTTTATGTTTTCTACTTAATAATTGCAATTATAATAAATACAAAATTACAAACCTTTAAAATTATTACCAATAGAGAGTTGTGGATAGTTTTAGCAATATGTAAGATTATTTTTAGTAGCATGCTAATATGTGTTGATATCAACACATATTAGCATGCTACTAAAAATCATGATATAGCTGATATAAATGATATTCATGATATAAAAATCATGATATATCATGATATAGCTATCTGAAAGCCTATTTCAGTATTCTTTATTATTATTGGAATATTACAGTATTATTGGAATAAACTGAAGCAGGCAATCAGTTAACAGAAAATCTAGCACAAAATAATTTAAGTAATCAAATAAAATCTAACTAATATTAAACCATTTTAATAAAATAAAAATAAAACAATTATAGCGCAAACAAGACTCTTAACCATAACAAAATTTAAGTTTTTATACTTAAGCCGTATAAAAAACTGGCCTCCTAATTTTTTACGGAAAATGCAACAAATCAGGCCGTGTAATTTAAGTAGGTCATGGGTCATTAACCTCTTAGCTTCGCGTGTAAAAGAAGCTATTGTGAACAAGGTAAAGTTTAGAAAGTATTTTTAAGTTATCATGAATTGCACTCCAGACCTTAGTTATAAAAGCCAAACTTCTCTAAGCATCCAGTATGTTCATAAAGAAAAAGGAGCAATAGTGATCGTTCAAGAAAGCTTTTTGGATACACAGTGTGTAAAAAGTCGTTTGGTGAAGCTCATTCTAACTGAAGAACTAAAGTCTTGTAGGATAGACATAAACAACTGCAGAGGTTAAGGCTTCAACAACAAGTCTAATAGGATTGCAATTTGAAAAGGTATTCAAGCTTGAATTTCAACAGAATACCCACAAGCCCGTGGTTGCCATAGCTTGAACGTAGTTATATCAGACGGAGCTAAATCATTGATGAAGTCTATATTGCTGTTTGGAGTTATTCAAAGATCCTATACAATTTTTTCTGCTCCGCTTTTCTAACAAGATTTCCCGATAGAATTGCACAATCTATTGCATCGGATTCCTGTTTTTCTGTATTGCCTATTTTTTGACTGCCTATGTCATCATTATCCTGATTCTGTTGTTCACCGTGAGGATTCTCTGGCTTCACCGGCTCAATTATTGTTTTTCTCAACAATGTAGTAATTTTGATCTGATAAGGTGATACTGCTGCTTTTGATAATTCCTTATTTATTTATTTTTTGAAATCTTTTAACCTTCGGCATGACTTTTAAGAGATTAAAACCGTTACATTTAAGTTAAGATTACGATTAACAAATATAAAATAAAGTACTAAAAGATATAAATTTGTTCGCAAATAATCGTCGAAAATAATCACCACTCGAAAATTATCATCAAAAATAAAAATACTAACTGAAAAAGCTATTGCTATATTTATTTTTTATAACTGTATATTGACTTTGCTAATATTGATAATAAAATATTGATATGAAATGTTGGATAATGAAATGGTTATAAAGCACAAAAATTTTCCATACCTATTTCCTAGAAAGGGCATATTTATGCTACCTTTGCTACCCTAATCATAAGGGCAGGAGTAGCAGTTGCTAAAATAGGCTACCCCTTTCCAGCGTGCCTGGTACGATGCTGTTTCGATGTTTTACAAAAATAAAAAATATATTTTCTGTTTTTTATTACGTTTGGTACGCATTTTGACTGCGAGATAGTCAAACCGCGTGCCTACTTACTATCTTTAATACCCCCTCCCTACCTTGTACGAGTTCATAAGTTTTAGGGAAACCTCCTCCTTCATAGCTGCGTACGTACTTTATGGACGGCCCTTTAAGTAAGTCACTGTTTTTTCTGAACATAATCACATATACTTTATTATTTTGATTAGTTACTACCCCATAAACAAAATTCAAAACCTTAAATATGATTTTCTGCTTGACTAAAAACCATCCAACATTTACTATGCGAATACCAATCATATTTTAAAATAAATCTTATAGCTTTATTTAGGAACTTCTGAATTATTTTAATATCACCTTAATTTGCATTTATAAAGATTGAGAATATTCATTATGAGGAGCCACTATATATATATATAAATAAACTATATTGTATTATAAATTTCTTTTTTAGTCCATTGGGTTAGATTTCTATTTATTTATAATAGGCAACCCAACTTTTTAGGTAAGGTACCCAACCAACTTTTTAGGTAACCCGACTATTTATTTGCTAAACATATAACATTAAAATAAACAAAAACTTGTTTTAATTTATATTTAATAAAAAATAAACTAAAATTTGTTTATGTGTGACTATTGTGACACATGGATACATATTAAGTGTAACAGAATTGATAACAAAACCTACAACTCCTTAAAGACAGAAAGTGGGTCTTGGTATTGCTTAATCTGTTTGGAAAACACTCTACCTTTCTCATCTCAAATAGACAGCGAATTTCAGCTTATAATAAATGATATAAATGGATTGTCATACAATTCAATTGATGAAATGCAAACAAATCTAGAAAATCCCATCAAAAATTTTTAAAATTTTAATAACAATTAAATAAAATGCAGATACTATGACACTATTGAGTTTAATTGTGTTGTAAATAAAGATTGTAATGTTTTCTTTCACGTTAATATATCGTCATTAGCGTACTACATTGACGATCTAAAAGTCTGCTCTCCCTTATAAGTCATGAACCCAGCATAATAACAATAACTAAATCTTGCTTAATCCATGGTCAATTGCCTAAAACTAATATTAATCTAAATGGCTATTCTGTTGAGCACTGTGACTCTAGCTCAAATAGAGGGGGAGCACTTATGTACATAAAAATGGATCTGAAATATAAAATAAGAGCTGACATTCAAATCCAAAAGACAAAAGAGCTAGAGTCAACTTTTATTAAAATTTTACGTCCTGGAAAAAAGAACATAGTTATAGGATGCATCTATCGCCACCTATGTATGTGCATTGCAGAGTTTAATAAATTCTATTTGCAAACACTCATTGAAAAAGTATCCATTGAAAATAAAGACATAATTATTCTTGGGGACTCTTAAATTAATCTTCTAAACTATGATTTTTCAGTGATGTTTCTAATTTCCTTGATTCCATGTGTTCTTACTCTCCCTTTCCTATTATTACCCAACCTACTAGAATAGCACCACAATCAAAATCACTTATAGACAACATATTTTTTAAACTTTTACAAACCCAATCTTGTATTTGGCAATCTAACATATTTTCTAGCTGACCACCTTTAGAGTTTATTGCGATACCTTCCAAAAAATTTGAAAAATTACATCCAAAATCATATCATCGATGTTTTAAGAATTTTGACAACAAATTATTCCTTGATCAACTTAAAGTTACAGAATGGGATCCTGTTGTTGAAGGAATAAATAAAAAAATCAGTAATTCAACAACAAAATTTTTGGAAATTATCAACAAGCTTCTTGATTATCATACACCATTCAAACTGTTTACAATAAAAACACAAAAAACTCTATCTAAACCATGGATCACCTCTGGGATCATTAAGCCTATTAAAATCAAAAATAAAATACACAAAAAGTTTATAAAAAGCACAAATCAGAACTTAAAGTTAGAATACTTTCAGCGTTTCAAATCTTATAGAAATCAAATTAACAATTTAAAACACTCTAAAAAATTGTACTACTGAATATATTTTGATAACAATGTAAGCTACCTGAAAAACACCTGGAAACGAATTAAGAACATAATTAACTTAAAATCAAAGAATAACCATGTTATAGATAGTTTAACAATAAATAACCAAAACATCACAGACAAGAAAATAATTGCAAATACTCTAAATGAGTATTTTTCTACAATAGCAGAAAACCTTGCATCTAAAATAATACCTCTGAGAAATGACTTTAGCTACTATCTTAAAAACTGCAATCCTACCTCATTTTATATAACCCTAGTTACTCCTCAAGAATCTAAAGACTATATATCTGCCATGAATTCAAAAAAAGGTATCGGACCAAAAAGCATTTCCTCAAAAATACTTATACTTGCATCTCAGGAATTCAGTTATCCTTTTAAGCATCATAATAAATGAATCATTCAAATATGGAATGAATCTGACCCAATTAAAGTTGTAAAGGTAATACCAATCTTTAAAAATAGCTCCAGACAAGATTGCTGTAGTTATAGACCTATATCACTACTATCAAACATTAACAAACTACTTGAAAAGTTCATGTATATTAGATTATCTGGATTTCTACATCAATCAAATATCTTATATAGGCTGCAATATGGGTTTTGCATAGTTCAAACCATGCACAAATCATAGTACAAACCATGCCCTAATTGATATTACTGAAAAAATAAGAGAGGCTCTTGATCAGAAAAAGTTTGCTGGAGGAGTGTTTGTGGATCTGCAAAAGGCATTCAACACAGTTGAACACGAGATCCTACTGTCAAAGTTATCTCATTATGGTATCTGTGAAACAGCTCTTCAATGGTTTAAATCATATTTATCTAATCGCTCTCAATTTTTTGATATTGTTAATACATCCTCCTCTACTAAATCAACATCAACAGGTGTTCCTCAGGGCTCGATTCTTGGTCCTCTTCCTTGTATATATAAATGACCTCAACGCATGTATCAGATATTCCAGAACATATTATTTTGCTGATGACACCAACCTATTAATAGTTAAAAAATCATTGAAAAAATTAAATAAATATATAAACTATGACCTATCATGCTTAGTTCAGTGGTTACATGCAAAAAAAATCTCCCTAAATGCAAAAAAGACCAAAATTGTTCTCTTTAAATCTAGAGGTAAAAAAATTGAAAAAAAGTTAAATTTCAGAATAAGTGGACAAAAACTATATAGTGTTGATAAAATCAAGTACCTTGGTATAATACTAGATAAAAACCTATTGCTTAATCATCTATTAAAATCGATCACTATCAAACTGAGTCATGCAAATAGAAAGCTAGCAAACTTGAGACACTATGTAGACTATGAAACCTTAATAAATATCTGGTATGTCATCTTTGGGTCACACCTTAACTATGGATGCCAGATATGGGGACAGAATTATTCTGTAAACAGAAATAACCTTATAAATCTACAAAATAAGTCTATAAGATTAATCCACTTTTAATAAAATAGCTTTGACTTAGATATACTATTCAGTTTATCAAAAATAACGAAACTAGATCAAATGATCTACTTGTTGAACAGTGCATTTGCATGGGATATTATACACAAAAATATACCAATGGGCTTCAACAATTATTTCAAGTTTACTGGTAATATTCACAACCACAATCTTAAATCAGTATCTTGCAACAACTTATCAATCCCATCAAAGCAGACATATAAGAATGGTATCAAATCAATAAAAAATTATTCAATTCTTTCCTGGAACTCCCTACCTAGTGAAATTAAAAAACCTACCAATCAAGTAAATAGAAATAGGTTTATTAAACAAGCAAAAGAGTTTATCATAAAAATACAAGATGAAACTACAAAATAAGTATATGAGTATGTGTGTGTGTATATGTGTGTTTGTGTATCCATATGTGTATGTATGTATGTATGAACTTTTGTGTATGTGTATGTATACATATGTATGCATGTGTGTATTTGTATATACATGTGTATAATACACATGCAATGTATGAGTATGGTTATATATGTAGGTATGTCTATACATGCGTTTTATATAACAATAACAAAAGAATCTGAAGAAAAAAAATTCATACTGAAATAAAATAATATAACTACAAATAAAATTATTAAAAAATCATTAAAATTAAAATTGTTAAAAAAATCAAAAAATACTTAAACTTTTTTAAAAATTTAATATAATAAATACATTAAATAATACATTAAATTTAATCCATAAAGTAAAAATACATTTAAACAAAAATTATACAAATTGCATATAAATAAAAATAGAGCATATAAATTGTCACTTAATTTAACTAAAACAAAATATACTTTTTTCTATCGCTATTGTGAATTTGACAAAGTTCCTTTAAAACTTCCAAAACATTGTATTGAGGATTGCAATATAAAAAAGGAGCCTCACTAAAATTTTTTGTCATCCTCCTTGATGAAAATGTAGTACAGAGAGATTATATAAAGTATCTGTATGGCAAAATCTCAAAGAAGATGGGCTTTATTGGGTGAAACCTTTTGTTAATCCACTTTGTTTAAAACTCTTATATTTCTCCTTTATTTATTGATATCTTAACTATGATAACAAATAAATATTTATCAGCTTTTAATTTTAATGTTTATAATTAATAAAAGTATTTTTTCTAAAATTTTGAATTGGTTATTTAAAAAAAAAAAAAAAGAATAAATACTTAATCAGATATTCAAATAACAACTATACACAGTCCAAAAGTTATTTTGTGGCAACTGAATTTTCAATCTCAATTAAGGGATTACAAAAAAGAAAAACCGAGTTTGTGCATAAATTAAAATGTTTAACAAAATTTTTATGTTTGTTTTTTGTTGCTTGAAATTTACTGCAAATACTGAAATGCTGGTTTGTCGTGATCTAACGCCTTTACAAACTGTTTGAAGATTCCAAGCTTGATGTGAAGATTGGGCAAGACGATCTTCTCTTTATCCACAAGAGGTTCATGAATGACGTTATGGGAACCAACCTCAAATGTTTCTCGTTGTGGCCAACATTTCCTCATATAATGTTCTGACCTCATCCTGCTATCACATTTGCAGAGGAAACACATATACTTAGTAAAACCAGCCTGCAATCCATTTAGTATAGCAACAACTTTCAAATCTGCACATATGGACCATCTGTGATCTCTGTATTTAATTCTGTCCAGAATAAGTGATATATTCACATAGCTTTCCTTCAGGGTTACCGAATGTGCTATGGGAATGGAAGGCAGCACATTTCCAGTATGCAGTAATACTGCCTTAATACTATAACGTGATGCGTCAATAAACAAATTCCACATAGATGAATCGTATTGTATTCCTAGATCATCAAACAATCCACTGATGTCATTACAGAAGCAAAGTTCTTTATCCATAGAGAAGTATTGCTGCAGTTCCCGTGATCGCTTTCTAAATGACGACACTCTTGCATCACCAGCCAACAGATGCCACTCCTGGAGACGTGAAGCCAGCAATTCACTTTGTTGCTTTGTTAAATACAAATCTCGAACGAGATCTTTCAGGTCAGATCCTGTTATGAAGTGGGGTTTACGCTCTGTATCTTCTGGCAACTCGTAACTATCATCGTCATCGGTATCCTCGTCTGAATCAGAACTTTCCATGTTTGGGATTTCCGATGGAGGTTCAGGAACAGTGAGTTCAGCCGAATGAGGAACAGGACGAATAGCTGAAGGTAGATTTGGGTACACTTTAGCTTTCTTACCCTTAGAATTGCGACCTGATATGTTAACAGAACAGAAATAGCAATCTGAACAATGATTTTGGGGTTCACGCCACACCATTGGCACCCCAAATGTTGGTCCTCCACCAGTCCTGTTCGCCCACGACGATAGTGAACTAGTGCACCTCACACAGCATGCATGAGGCGCCCAGTTCTTATCCTGGTCGCCGACTTTGCAACCAAAGTATAGTTCATACAGTTTTTTCACATGTGGTGTCAATCTTCGTCTGCATCTCTTTAAAGTCATTTCGCCACAAATGTAGCAAAAGTCGTCGGCTTGATTTTTACAAGTTCTGGGCATTTCTTGTTTCAATATACACTGTATTATATCTATATATTACTTGGCTAACTGTAGTTTATCTAAAATAAAACAGACATACATTTAGTCTAATACAAGGTTAAACAAATGCAACTGTATTATATCATACACTGTATTATATCTATATATAACTTGGCTAACTGTAGTTTATCTAAAATAAAACAGACTTACATTTAGTCTAATACAAGGTTAAACAAATGCAAATAGGTATATGATAAAAAAATGCTAATAAATAAATCATAAACAACTGCTATTAAATATAATAAAAATCACATTGACAACTTTCATAGTGAAAATCGAAAATTTGAAAATGTGAATTTCCGTCAAAATTGCTGGGTCACACAACAAAACGGACATTATTTTCGTAATCTCCAAATCAAAATACATAAGGTAGTGTCAATGGCATTTCCGTTTTTTTTTCGTTGTTGTAGAGTGATATTAGGTGAATAAAAAAAAGCAATTGCTTTTACTCAGTGTTTTTGGAGTAATTGTTCAGCTTTACAACGAAAAAAATTTGAGCAAAATCGCTCAAATTTTTATTCACGTAAAGTTAAGCAACTAACTCCAATAACGCCTAGTAATTGCTCAATTTTACGTGAATAAAGATTTGAGCTGAAATTTTTATTCTCATAAAAAGCTGACCAATTACTGTGTAAAAGCAATTGCTATTTTTTTTTCACCCGGCCTATTATCTTTTTCAAATCATTATATTTGGAAAACAAAAAACTGTGGCTACTTTACAACAAATAAGATATACAATCAACAACTGAGCATTTGTTAACCGTAATAATTATCTACTACTAAAATGAAGTTAATTAAACAAAGTTGACTGAAGCTTAGCGAAGATTTCAAATTTGGCCAACGCAAAATTTTTTATCCATTACCAGATTTACTTTGCAGATAAATTTTTGCAGATTAATTACTTTGCAGATTAATTTTGCAGATTACTATTTTAATCACTGCGCTAAAATTTATAGCGCAGTAATTAAAATATTTTGCGAAAGTTTGTACAGCCGACAGAATTCGTTTTGAAAACTGGCCTTCTACTTTTTTTTTCGATTTAAGCAGAATAGAAGGCCGTGTATTTAAAAAGGCCCTTATTTAATTGTAGCAATATCTATCTAGTGATGATGTAAATGTACTTTATAAAATACTTGTATTTTTTTTGTATTCAAAAGTTTTGATTTATATATTTTTGAATATTTTAGCAGTTGTAAGCTTTTAAGCACTTTTTAATAGTTTTTTTGCTTTCTATTTATAAATTTTATTAATTTTTTTATTTATGTTACCGTTGTTTAAAATTTTTTAAACGTGCCTTCTCGCTTCAGTCACTAATCTTTGATATATGTGTGTGAATTGTATATAGTCTTTAACATAAAAATAAACTAAAAAAAAAGGAAAATAATAAATTACAAGAATAAATGTTGCTTTTATAAACTTTCAACTGTTCTTCTTGCATAACTATTTACAAATCTGAGAATTTTTTTTAGAGCATTGCGCTCTAAACATCATATTCTATTCTTTTTAATCATCGCTATGAAGAAGACAATTATCAGGAGTGATTATGAACATAATAATTGATTATTAAATTTTGGGAAAACTTTTACTTTTATAGACTCTTCTAGTATCTTTCTGCATTACCTTCTTCTAGTCTTTTTTGAATGATTTATTTTTTTTACAATGAAAAAAATAAAAAAAAATAAATTATTTTGTCATTATTTTGTCTATTATATTAAGATAAGATATTTTAAAACTATTCTTTAAGAAACCTTTGAGATGATAGAATATAGTAGGAGGAGTTTCTTGAAGATTCAGGTTGTTAGCAATATCTAGTTTTATTGTATATTAATTCTATTTATATCTATCGGAAGGTTTTGGTTCGTGAATGATTAAAGAACTAATAATAATTAATAACAGTTTGAATTAACCTGTTTAAATTCAATTTTTCATTTTTTGCATAAACTTTTATGAATAACATGCTGTATTACTGGTATAGATTATAGATGTTACCTATATTTGAACTCCGATCTTCATAAAATTAATCCGTTAGACCAATTTATGGAAGTTAAGAAGATTGAACTAAAACAAAGTATTATTCAATAATACTTTATTAAGTTCTATCTCCTTTTTTTATACCAACTTTATGGTAACATAAATATGATGTATAAAGCCACTTTATATTGTTAATATCTTTGCAATAATAGTTATTTCAACAAAAAAACACCTAAATTTTGACTACCAAAGTAAGTAAAACTAAAACAAAGAAAAACCTTTTATAATTAACTAAACAAAGTCGCCATTTTTTCGTTTATCCCCTATGAAAAAGTCTTAGTATTTAAACCGCACGCTGTGAAAGTCCCTAATTAAAGGTGTCCACTCATCTATTTTTTTATGGGAACGGGATAAGAAAGGGAAAGTAGTGTAGTAATCCAACAACACGCTTGAAAAATTAACTTTAATGTTTTAAATACACTTATTATAACCAAAATGCAAAATCTCTTGAAAAGTATTTATTTTATGTACCTTTTCGATTAACATAAGGTTGAACTCAACAATTTGTGGTATACCAGAAGAAATCAGAAATAGGAAAAAAATATAAGACAATTAAAGAAAATATAAATACTTTTTTAATAAAATGCTAAATAAACCCTCGCCGCTTTCACAATTTAAACAGTTTCTTTTGATTGGATAAACAGGTCAATTTGAAAAGCAATAGTTAAATATTGTTGATAAACAGGTCAATTCGAAAAGCAATATCTAAATATTATGATACCGTTATACTGTACCGTACTTCAATTTTATTTTATTTCTTTTCAAACGTTTCAAATAATTAAAAATGCGTATTTGTTTACTTATTACTTCATTTTTTGTTTAAAATGGTAAATTATTACTATTATTTGTTTTCTCAATTATGTATTCATAATGGCAAGTTTACTTTCGATTTTTTGGGTGTGTAGCAGACATTCCTAAAACATTCCTAAAAATTATAATATTTGCAGAAAACAATTTCTATTAACTATTAGAAAAGCAATTTTTATCCCTAATTCTTGCTAATACTAATGTATTGTTTAATATTTACAACAAAATAATCAAACCATTGTAGTAACGGGTCGTCCAGAAAGGACGTCATTCAGAATTTAATTACTAACCAGAAGTAGAAGTTTATTGGCTCCCTTCCGCAGAGACTTTCATTGAACATAAGGCGCTATCTTATTCTCAAAGTCTCTGCGCACGAGAGCCAACATTCTCCTACTTCTTGTTATAAGTTAAACTTAAAGTGACGTCCTTTCATGGCCCCTATATGACCCCTAATACTGAAATCTTTTTATTCAAATTTCAGGTTTTTAAGTGCGTTGTTTAGTGCTTTAGGTTTATGAAGTTGTTATTTTACAAATCATATAAACCTCCTGTTCAAGAGTTAGGAAAAGCCCAACATGCCATTGCCCTTTTTGTTGCCCTTATTGCTCTTAACTCTACAATTAAGATAAACAATTTTAAATAAACACTCTTAATTTGAAAAAAAGTACTATTTGTTATATTCCACTCCGAAAAAACACTTAGGAGTTCTTTAATGTTTAAATATTACTTATATTACTTAATTTTACATTTTAAATTATAATTTAATATATTTAATATACTTATATTACTTATTTCTATTTTTTCTTATATTAACACTAAGTTATGACTTTATTCTGATTACAATATTAAATAAAGCTGCTTAACTGAATGAGTTGCCGTTTTAGCATTTTAAAATCTTTAAAGATTTTATTTTGATAAAACGATGGTTACTTCGACGATTAGAGATAATTGATCGCAATAATAATTACGAAGATAGTTCGTCGCAGGCCGCATTTTCATCCGGACGGCCTACGTCAAATAACGCCAGTTATTCCCTCGAGACTTGAGTACTTTTTGAGATTTACCTTGGCATTGCAGATTTTAATATTTCGAGAAGTAATTCACTTCTTAATATTTTGCAATGGTACTGCTAGCGAAACGCCTTGTTTTAAATCCAACGAAATTTGCCATAACCAGACTTAGGTAAAAACTTGAACCAATAACAATACAGTATTTTGCATTTCTATGTAGAATCTTTTACAATACTTTTGTTGTCAAACAGCTTTATGTTATCAAATTACTGTTGTTTTATTTTTATTTGATTGAAAAATCTAAATAAATTAATTTGTATTATAAATACAAATACAAATTGAAAATATTAGTTTAGGAAAGTAGTTTTATAAAATATTATTAAAAAAAAAAGAAGCAATAAACAATAAACATTATTACACAACACTTTATAAATACTATAAATACTTTATAAATACTATACACTGTAAATGTTTGAGTCAGAATGGTCTAAGCATTATAAAGCTTACATATTTTTACACATATTTTTTATTATTTTTTAAATATTATAAAACAAAAGTAAAAACCTATTTTTTCAAATTAAAGTTTCAAATTAAATTATTTGTTTTTTTGTTAGTACTGTGCTAAACTCCTTTTTCTGCACTTTAGCCTTATTTGTCAATATTTGTGTTTCAGAGTCAAAATGTTAAGAGAGAGTTGTAATAACATTTTAAAAAGTGGACCTTTTGACTTGTGAATAACACTACGATTGTTCTAGCATCAAATCCTGATTACCTTATTAGAACAATTTTTAGCAATGTATATCAGGCACCTGACTTTAGTAAGTCCATAAAAAATAAATCTTACCCAAAATAAGTATTATTTAAAACCATACCCTAACCATGAACTATATAGGCATTTATTGAAAACTATAACCTAACCCTCACCATGAGCTTAGGGTATGGTTTTCAATAATACTTGAAGCTAAAAAACACAAAATAAGTAATATTGAAAGCCATACCCTAATCTTGACCCTAACCACAAAAATCATTTCATTGAAAACCATAACCTAACCCAGATCTTAAGGGTTAGGTTCAGTGTTTGACAAGGGTATGCTTTTCAATAATATTTGTTTTAGAAGCAAGGTTCTAAAATACACATCCAACCAATTTTAATTACCACTACCCTTAGTATCATTTCTATAGAATTTTTTTTGGTCTTGTTTTTTTGGCCAAAAAAACCAATGGCTTTGTATTTTCTCTTTTTTAATAAATTCATTTTTTTAATTCTTAAATCATCAAATAGTTTCAGTAATTCTTCAATTTTTAATTTCAGTAATCATTCTTTAATTAATTTATATTGAGTTCGAAAAAATCAATAAAAAAATTGTATATGCAAATATTACTTGTATATATGCAAATATAGCTTAGGCAAATGCATTAAAGTTAAAATTTCTATATCATTGAACACTCTTGAAGAATAATTAGCTAAATTTACAAATGCCGGACATTTAAAAAAATGAATGACTACATATTTATCAAATTAGCATATGTAAAAATATAATGTTTATGCTAAAATACAAACTTGATACTATCAAAAAAAACTTCTAATTCTCTAATATTATGGCCCTAATTTATACTACTTAAAAATAATATAGTAATTATAGTACATAAGAATAAGATAATTTGTAATATAGATAACTAAAATTCTTTGCAAATTAATGCGAAAAATCTTATCCTAAATTTAAACAAAGGTTTCAAATTTTTTTATAATAAAAATTTTACAAAAACAAATTTAAAAAAGATTGGCAAAAACTGGCAAAATAAAATTAATAAAAAGTGAGAAAAAAAATAGCAGTTATAAATATGATAAAATCATACAACTAATTATATGAGGCCATTACTTAAGTGTTGTTTATATGTATTATACTTAAATTACTTGAAAGACAATTTTAGACTTCTGCAAGTTTCCAATAACAACATACAAATAGTCTTTCGTGCTTTTTACCTTAACATTTAATGTTTTTTTAATCCCTATTTATTTTTTAAATTAAGAAAAAATGTATTTATGGAATAAATAAGAATTAGCTAGGTAAGGATTTCTATTTTATGAATAAAATAACAATACAGTGCTTGAATTAAAAGTATTGAGTTATTATCATTGTATTAAGTTTCTTATACTTACATTTGTATTGATTTAGTTTTTTTTTGTTTTTGTTTTTTTCAAAGTTAAATGGTAATATATAAAAAAAAGATAAATAAATAAAACTGTTACTTTTTATAGAGTTTTGAATTCAAAGTTAAACAAAATTTAAAAATAACAAAATTTTAAAAGGAAAAACAATACCAAGTAAATCACTTTTATCTCTATTTACTTTTTTAATGGCATCAGAGATTTAGAAATATTGATATGCCTATATTTCTTCAATAGATAGACCAATCAGTATTCCATTTTAAAACAGCTTTAATATCCTTTTGAAATGGAATGGATAATGAAATGAATGGATTTGGATTTTTTATGTTTAATAGTATTAGATTTTTTATGCCTGCAAATGTAAAATGAGTTGTTAAAGATGTCAATTAATTAGTAAAACACAGAAATTATACATCAGGAAGCGGCCATTATCAACATCACTCATACACAAAAATTAGATGCATAATTATCATCAGGCATATATAGGGTTGCCAGACATCCAGCTTTTACGAAGGAGAACACAGCAAAAAAAATTATTTTTACAGGTTTGGCGCTGTATTCTCCGCCGTAAAAGCCAGACATCTGGCAACCCTAGGCATATATCAAGACGAGATGTATCAGATGAACATAAAGAAGAGGTTACAATTGCTATCATTATCAAATGGACATTAAAAAGAATTTAAGTATTAAAAATATTTGATGTTACAGATTATTTTCACAAATTTGAAAAGTTTCAGTTTTTATACTTTTTTTTAAAGTTGACAATGATTATTATGATTGACAAATTTTTTTTATTTAATTTTTTGTAAATTTTTATTACATTAAAAAAATTTTTTTTTTTTGGCAATTTTGAAGGATTATCTTTTTCTAACAAAAATAATTTTCTTATTTATCATAGGGACACTGGGCATAAAAAACAAACTTAGTTTTGATAGTTCAATCATATTTCAATATTTATGTGATCTTGAAGTAAACAAGGATAGTATTTCTTGGATCTATTATTTTTTAAGAATTTTTTTCTATTATGGAATAAAGTCACGATGAAAAACATTGGTCAATCTTAATAATGATTAAACAGTGCTTAAACTGACCAAAGAAATGCTGAATGATTATCTAAGTTCTTGATGATCTTCTGAATGCCTTGACTTATGGAAGAGTTACAAAAACAATTCAGGTGGTGAAGTAAAACCTGAAGCTCTTGCTGAAATAGCCTAGAAGCTTCTGGTACCTCTATTAGCATTAATGTTTTGTTTTTTAGGGGTGATAGTCTAAGATTTTTAAAGTTAGAAGATAGAAGTTAAAGGGATAGTCAACAAAGCTAGTCAACCAAAAATATTTTATTTACATCATTGTTTATAAAACTTTTTACAAAGTAAAACCATAATGCAGGCCAAAAAATCCGCATGTTATACACGGCAACATGTTTTGGATGCAACATGTTTTCGATGTTTGGGATCCCTTTATACTAAAAAATGTTAATTAAAAAAGTTTGATACAGGTTAATATTTAAAAATGACGCATGAAAGTTAGATATTTTCATTAGTGTATTTAGAGTTTATTTTTATTAGAAAGTTAATATTAAAAAAAGGTAATTGATGTCAAAAATTATTGTCATATCCCATATTTAAATAAATATATTAAAATCAGTTTGATATAATTAAAAGGTTATAATAATATAAAATTCTAGAAATTTCAAAGTATTTCATAGTTTTTTTTTTAATTATAAGTGTCCTGGAATAATATAAGAATAAATGTTGTTCTTTTTTTATTTTAGCTCGTTCTGGTCTCATGTTGAAGAAGGTCCTCCTGATGTAATTCTTGGAATAACTGAGGCATTTAAAAGAGATTCAAATCCCAACAGAATAAATTTAGGTGTTGGTGCATACAGAGATGAACAAGGGAAGCCATATGTCCTACCATGTGTTCGTAAGGTACATAATAACTTGTAATTTTAAAGAAAATAGCTTTACTATAAAGACTTTAATAAATTTTTGAAAAAATTTATCTTTGTTTATCTTTATTAATATGTTTTTGTTCATCTTCAGTCTTAAGTCTTTTATCTTTGTTTATCTTTAGTAATATAATTGTGGTAGTGGTGTAGTGGTAGAGCGCTCGCTTAATAAGCGAGAAGTTCTGAGTTTAATCCCTACCAAATCCCTGGAAGTACCGTGCTCAACTTGTTTCTCCGCACAACAGCCTTGTTTGTCAAGGTTTGTGTTTTGGAGTTATAGAGTTGAGAGAGGGTTGTAACCACTAATAAAAGTAACCTCCTTGACTGTAGTGGCCTTCTGGGTTTTGGGGAGATAAATTAACATTAAAAAAATAAAATACTTTAAAGTATTACATATATTTATATAGTTTTAATATATAAGAAATATGGTTTTACTTATGTAAGTTAAATAAAGAATTTTAAAGTTTTAAGATTAGTTTTACTTAAGTTTTTAAATATACAATTTATATTTATAAATTAAAATTTTATTTCATTTTTTAAAATTTGTTCTTTTAATATGCTCAAAGTTACTTACTTAATATCTTTATAAATAGTGTAAATATGCAGGGATACGGAGTCCAAAAAAAAGGAATATAAAAAATATAAATGAAAATAAATATATATTTGCTCTGCTTTTAACAGCCAATTGCTTTTTTATTATTAAAATTCAGTTACTTAACAAAAACTGTTTTTTGTTTTTTTTTCTTAAATAGGCTGAAGCTCAAATTTTTGAAGAGTTGCGTGATAAAGAATATGCAGGTATCACTGGTGTTCCTGATTTTTTAAAAGGAACAGCAAAACTGGCATTATCTGATAAGGGTGGCGTGATAAGCAATGGATTGGTATGCGGTTTTAATCTTTTCAATGTTATTTTAAATTATTTTTTTAAATAAGTTTGCAGTTTAAAAAAAATTCTTTACTGGCCAGCATTTTATAACTTTGTAGCATTGTTGTAAAGTTTATTTTCTAGAACACAACTGTTCAAGCTCTTTCTGGTACAGGATCTTTGAGAATCGGAGCTGCATTTTTGGTATGTTTATGAATTATGTACTTAGATTAATAAAGATTAATTAGATTAAAGTAATAATTAATTAAGCACATGCTTAGTGTCATGGAAGTAAAAACAGTATCTTATATACAATTTAATATCAATGCCAGGGGTTAACTACTTCAGTTTTAATAAGAATAAATATAGAAACAGAAAATTTAATTCAATATTTTTTGATTTTTAAAAACCAGAAAACAATAATTAATTTAGTTGTCACCATTGACATCTCAAGATATTTTGCCAAGAGTACTTTTTGCAGTTTTTTTTTATATCTGGAATATATCCTTTTTTACAAAATGCTCAAAGTATGCCAAATGAACAATTTTTCCTCTGACAGAAACAGTTATCTACCTGATAATAAAGTTGTTATACACCATGTTCCTAGTACATTTGGTGGCATAATTATTAGAAAACAAAGTTATTTGATTATTTACTACAATTTAACCACGCTCTAATACCTGAATCTGTAAGACCGTTTCCAAAAGCTCACAAATAAAAAAAACAAACAAATTAAGGTAGAAAAAGTGTTTAATCTGAAGTTCTCACTGAATCTTCAGAAAGAGAAAAAATTAAAAATGTTTATCTTTTATGCAAGACAAAACTTAAAAAGTTTTAAAAAAATTTAAAAAAAAGAAACAAGTCAGTTAGTGATCAACCGAAAGAGAAAAAAAGCTGAAACTGAAATAAACCAAAATTTTGGATACTTGAATTTGATGCTGAAACTGAAGCCGACATTTCGGCAAATATTTTACAGAAACCGATACCGAATTTCGGTTATTCAAAATTTATTTAAAAATGCAATTTTGCATTTGTTTTTTTATGCTCCTATTATGATTTTATTAATTAATGGTGTATCCCAAATTGAGATTTAATACATAAGTTGGCAGTATAAGTTAAAAAAGAAATTTAACAACTGGCAGATTTTCTCTTCAAAACAAGATTTTTTCAAGGTATTTTGTGAAAATTCTCAAAATATTTTGTGAAAATTCTAAAAAATAACTGTTTTTCTAAATAAGATAAATATGGGTTTTCAGTATGTTTTTCAACCGAAATTTCAGTCTTTACGAATTAATAAAAAGTACCTTAACCAAAATTTCGGTATTGGTTCAAATTAAAATTTTGACCGATACCAAAACAAAATTTTGTCGATCACTAAAGCTAATAAATACTTTTGTCTTTGTTGAGTTGAGGTAACTATTTTTTTCTTTTTGTATTCGCTTTAAACTATTTTTATATTTTACCAAAGTCTTGTTAGATTTTTTAGACTAACAACATGAGATTGTATACAAAAAAAATTTATTCAATTCTTACAAATGAAAAACTAAACTTAATGAAATTTAAAAATATTTTGTTGCTTTATTTAAAAAATAGTGTTCTTTTTTTTCAATTTCATAATGATGATTCAAATCTATCTCAGGTGTATTTAAAGCTCAAGTTGTGGAAACTTTGAACATTTTTGTGTTAATGTGTTAAAGAAGTAATTGTACTGAGTTTATTTAAAACTTCTACTAACACTACCAAAAAAAAAAAGTGGTTAAAATGCCCTTTTTCTCTTATGTATTTTCTTTATTTATTTTTATTCCTTTATGTTTTTCCATCATTTCCTTTACTGGCCTTTTTTCAAGATTATTTTCTTAAAGTTTATTTTTTATTATATATATATATATTTTTAATTTTGGTTTTTATAGTTTTAGTTATTATTATTTTTTTAATTTATACTTTGTCTATATTATGTAAAAAGTAAAAAAAAAAAAATTAAATGATGTAAATTTAATAGGTGATTAATTATTTAGCAAAGATTTTATCCTGGCTCAAAAGTGGTATATATATCTACTCCATCATGGGGAAATCATTATCCAATATTTAAGTAAGGTTTTAATGTTGATAGTTTTTTATTACAATTTTTATGTATCAAAACTTGTAGAATTAAATTATTATCTACTTCATTTATGTGGTGCATTTTAAAAAGAAATGAGTTTTATGAGAATCATTTTATAAAATTTTATTTTTAAATATAAATTTATTGCTTCTTGGTTGACACCACATTTGTATTAATAACTACATGTTTTCGTTTTTGTTGCTGGCTCATTTTCAAAATAGTGATATTTTTTTTTCTGTAGTAAAATCAATTTCTGTAGTAAGAATACTAGGGTCAGGTCAGGTTTTCCTGCTAGGGTCAGGTCAGGTTTTCCTAGGGTCAGGTCAGGTTTTTCTAGGGTCAGGTCAGGTTTTCCTGCTACTGGTAACATGTAACCCAGTACAACCTGCTCCATGTCCTGCTGCCTTGTAGGATACGCTTTTTTAGGCAAAGGCTAGGAGAAGTTAACTCCGATTTAAAACACCCCCTGCCTTGGGGCTCTTGGTTGAGTAAAGGCTAGAGATGGTGTCTCGATAAAAATACTCATCTTGGGCAGATGTTACATGCATCCAGCTGCTGTCTTGTAGAAGGCCTCCTAGGCAAAGACTTAAGGGGTAAACAGATTCTATCTGTTGACCAGCCTCGCACCCCTTCCTCATCTATTAGGCTGGCGCAGATGTATTTTTAATACATTGTTTCCAGTTTAGGATGTTGAACGCTGGATCTTCTTGACTCAATGCGTGGGTATTGCTTGTGTCTCTATTTTTATGACTGGGCAACTCATTCTATTATCTCCTAATGAGGGTACAGCTCTAAAACTCAGTTTTATGGTTCTGAGGCCGGCTGGTAGTCAGGTTTCCCGAACTCTGTGGTAGCTCTCAGAGAGGCTGATTCCATCAACAGCCGAAAAATATCAGAGTACTAACAGTGCCATGTTGCGCATGGATGGTGTCCCTGTTTGTACTTTTGGTGTGCATTGCAGAGGCCACATTTGGAGCCCTTTGTTACGGCTTAGGGTTTATTAATAGTAATGAGGCTATTGCTTAGTTGTTAAATAGTGTACTGAGTACTATCTATACTTGAGTCAAGTTCTTTATAAATTTAAAATGACTAAAGTACCTAAAACTAAAAAACACAAAAAACCATTGTCATCACCAAGTTCTCTAAACCTATCATTTACTAATATTCGTGGTCTTCGAAGTAACTTTTCTTCTGTTGAGTCTTATCTCTTGCAAAGTTCACCAGACCTACTTGCTCTTTGTGAGACTAATTTGAGTTCAGCTGTCCCATCTTGTGATCTTAGTGTTGATGGTTATCTTCCTTTAATTCGTAAAGACTCCAATAATCACATGCTTGGCCTGGGCATCTACATTCGTAAGAACTCACCCATTTGTCGTGAAACTAGGTTTGAATCTACAGACTATTCATTTATGTGCTTTCGTTTAGCACAACTTCACTCTATCGCCTTTCTCTTTGTTCTATATCGCTCTCCTTCATCCCAAGATTGCACTATTCTTGATGTTATTTCTGATCAAATTGACCAAGCCCTCTCTCTTTATCCATCGGCCAATATTGTCGTTGTTGGTGACTTTAATGCCCATCACACCGATTGGCTTGGCTCTAGTGTCAGTGACTCTGCTGGCGTTAAGGCTCTCAACTTTTGCCTTTCTCAATCTCTAACTCAAATAGTCAACTTTCCAACTCGTTTTCCAGACAACCCTAATCATTTACCTTCTCTACTCGACTTATGTCTTGTTTTGGATCCTAGTCAGTGCTCAATTTCTCCACATTCACCCTTAGGTACTTCTGATCACGGTTTGATCTCTCTAAAACTATTATCAAATTCTTCTACTTCATCAGAATCCCCCTATCATCGTACCACATACAACTACCTTAAAGCTGACTGGGACTCTTTCCGTGATTTTCTTCGTGATGGCCCTTGGGTAGAAATCTTTCGTCTTCCTGCTGACAAATGTGCTTCTTACATAACTTCGTGGATTCAGGCTGGCATGGAATCTTTTATTCCCTCTCGACGATTCCAGGTCAAGCCTCACTCTTCTCCTTGGTTTTCCTCACATTGCGCAGTAGCAATTTCTAATCGAAACCGTTACTTCCATATCTATCAGCAAAACAATTCTCCAGAAAACAGACATCTGTTCACTATCGCCAGAAACCATTGTAAAAAGGTTTTGTCTGACGCTAAAGCTCGCTATTCCCAGGTCATTAAATCTCGTATCTCATCACAAAAATTAGGCTCTCGAGACTTCTGGAGAATCTTTAACAGTATCAATAATAAGGGCAAATCTGTTATTCCTTCTCTCTTGTATGGTTCAGACTTTGTCACCTCACCTAAAGACAAAGCTGAATTGTTTGCTAAGAACTTTTCATCAATATCATCTCTTGATTCCACTAGTTGCGTTTTACCTGACATAGCCGTCAAACAGGTTGATCCCTTGCTTGACATTCGCATCACTTCAGCTTCTGTATCTAAAGTAATTTCCTGCTTAGACTCTTCAACAGCTTGTGGTCCTGACAACATTCCTGTTGTAGTCTTGCAGAGGTGTTCTCCGGAGCTTTCATCCATACTTTCTAAACTATTTAACAAGTGCTTATCAGAGTCTTATTTTCCATCATGCTGGAAAGCAGCATCTGTTATCCCTATTTTCAAAAATTCCGGAGAACGATCTGATTCATCTAACTACCGTCCCATTAGTCTTCTTCCTGTCATAAGCAAGGTTTTTGAATCTTTAATCAACAAACACTTAATCTCTCATCTTGAATCAAATAACTTACTTTCTGATCATCAATATGGATTTCGGTCTTCTCGTTCTACAGCTGATGTGCTAACAGTAATAACCGATAGGTTTTACCGTGCATTAGATAGAGGTGGAGAGGTTAAGGCTATCGCACTTGACATTTCTAAAGCTTTTGATAAAGTTTGGCATGCTGGTCTTCTCCATAAGCTTTCTTCTTATGGTGTAGCTGGTAACGTCTTTAAGATTATTGAGTCCATTCTTTCCAATCGTAGTATAAAAGTTGTCCTCGATGGACAACACTCTTCTTCACATCCTGTAACTTCAGGGGTTCCTCAAGGTTCAATCCTTGGCCCTATACTCTTTTTAATTTACATTAACGATCTTCCAGATATTCTCACATCTAAGGTGGCATTATTCGCTGACGACACTACCATTTACTCTTGTCATGATAAGAAGCCTACACTCTCTGATTGCTTGGAGGGGGTATCTGAGCTTGAAAAGGATCTCACTTCTGCTACAGCATGGGGCTCACAGTGGCTGGTGAACTTTAATTCAGATAAAACTCAATTTTATTCGGCCAATCGTTATCGTAATAATTTAGATCTTCCTATATTTATGAATGGTAATGTACTAGATGAGTCATCTACCATTCATCTTCTAGGATTAACTCTTACTTCTGATCTTTCTTTTAAACCGTATATCAAATCCATTGCAAAATTAGCATCTGCTAAGGTTGCATCTCTTTATCGAGCTCGACACTTTCTTACTCCAGATTCTATTCTCTATCTCTATAAATCTCAAATCCGTCCCTGTATGGAATACTGTTGCCACATCTGGGGCGGATCTTCTAATGATGCTCTTTCTCTTTTAGACAAGGTGCAAAAACGAATTGTAAACATAGTTGGACCTGCTCTGGCAGCCAATCTCCAACCTTTGTCACATCGTCGTAATGTTGCTTCTCTTTCTCTTTTCTACAAATACTATAATGGGCACTGCTCTAAAGAGCTAGCATCCCTTGTTCCATCTACTAAAATTCATTCTCGTGTTACTCGCCATTCAATTAAGTCTCATCCTTTTTCTGTGACTGTTCCTAAGTGCTTCAAAAACTCTTATTCTTCTAGTTTTTTTCCTCGAACATCAGTTCTTTGGAATTCGCTTCCTTCATCTTGCTTTCCTGATTCATATAATTTGCAATCTTTTAAGTCATCAGTCAATCGTTATCTTGCTCTACAGATTTAGTCTTTTCTCTTCCAGTAACTTCCAACTCTTATAGTGGTTGCTTGCAGCCTTGTTGGAAGTGAAGATGTTAAAAAAAAAAAAAAAAAAAAAAAAAATACATTAGTTAAACTGTTAATTTTTGACAATTTGAATGATTAAAAGTATAACTGCATACGTGTGAATAAGTTATAAAACTTTTAAAACAATAGTGACTTTAAGGGATCTTTAAAAGACGCTTCAAGTAACTATTTCTTTATAAAGATAAAATAGTTATAAAGATATAATAATAGTTATAAAGATATAAATAAGATATAAAAGTTTATAAATAGTAATGATGGTATAAACAACTAGAACTTTCTAATAGTCCAATGCTTGGACTATTACTAAGTACTAGTTGATAGTCATCTTCTTTTAGTCCGTAAAGACTCCAATAATCGTATGCTTGGCCTGGGTATTTACATTTATAAGAATTCACCCATTTGTTGGGAAACTAGGTTTGAATCCACAGACTATTCTTTTATGTGCTTTGGTTTAGCACCACTTCACTCTATCACCTTTCTCTTTGTTCTATATAGCTCTCCTTTATCTCAAGACTGCACTCTTCTTGATGTTATTTCTGATCAAATTTACCGAGCCCTCTCTATTTATCCTTCAGTCAATATTGTTGTTGTTATTGACTTTAATGCTCATTACACTGAATGGCTTGGCTCTAGAGTCAGTGACTCTGCAAGCATTAAGGCCCACAACTTTTGCCTTTCTCAATCTCTAACACAAATAGTCAACTTTCCAACTCACTTTCCAGACAATCCGAATCCGAATCCCCCTATCATCGTACCTCTTACAACTACCTTAAAGCTGACTGGGGGTCTTTCTGTAATTTTCTTTGTGATGGCCCTTGGGTAGAAATCTTTTTCGTCTTCCTGCTGACAAATGTACTGCTTACATAACTTCTTGGATTCAGGCTGCCATGTAATCTTTTATTTCCTCTCAAAGATTCCAAGTCAAGGCTTGCTCTTCTCCATGGTTTTTCTCTTATTTCCATTGCTACTCCTGCAATTTCCAATTGTATTTACTTCCATATTTTTCGCCAAAACATTTCTCCAGAAAATAGACGTCTGTTTACTATTGCTAGAAACCATTCTAAAAAGGTTTTGTCTAACACCGAAGCCCGCTATTCTCAGGTCAAAAAATCTCGTATTTCATCTGAAAAATTAGGCTCTCGTGACTTCTGGAGATATTAACATTATCAATAACAAGGGCGAATCTGTTAATCCACCTCTCTTGTATGGTTCAGATTTTGTCACCTCATTAAAATACAAAGCTTATTTGCTAAGTACTCTTCAATATCATCTCTTGATTCCACTAGTTGCGTTCTACCTGATATAGCCAACAATCAGGTTGATCGATTGGTTGACATTCGTATCATTACAGGGTCTGTATCTAAAGGTATTTCCTGCTTAGACTCTTCTACAGCTTGTGGTCTGGACAACATTCCTTTTATAGTCTTGCAGAAGTGTTCTCCAGAGCTGTCATATATACTTTCAAAAATATTTAACAAGTGCTTATCAGAGTCTTTTTTTCCAGCCTGCTGGAAAGCGGCATGTTATCCATATTTTCAAAAGCTCTGGAGAGCAATCTGACTCATCTAACTACCATCCCATTAGTCTTCTTATCATTCTTCTTCAATCATCCATTAGTCTTCTTATCATCAAGCAAGGTTTTTGAGTTTTTATTTAACAAACACTTAATCTCTTATCTTGAATTTAATAACTCGTTTCTCCGCCCAGTGGCCTTGTTCGTCAAGGTTCGCGTTTCGGAGTTATAGAGTTGAGAGAGGGTTATAGCCACAAAATAAGTAGCCTCCTCGTCTGTAGTGGCCTTCTCGGCCTTGAGGAGGTGAAGTAAAATAAAAAATAAAAAAAAAAACTTATATTGTGATCTTCAACATGGTTTTCAATCTACTCGTTCTACTGTTGATTTGTTAACGTTAATAAATGATAGGTTTTATCATGCATTAGATTGATGTGGAGAGATTAAGGCTATGGCTCTTGACATTTCTAAAGTTTTTGATAAAGTTTCTCAGAGGCTGGTCAACTTTAACTCAGATAAAAATCTATTTTATATAGCTAATTGTTATCGCAATATTCTAGATCTTCCTATATTTTTGAACGGTAATGTACTCGATGAGTCATTTACCCTTTATCTTCTAGGATTCACTCTTACTTCCGATCTTTCTTTAAAACCTATATCAACTCTATTGCAAAATTAGCATCTGCTAAGGTTGCATCTCTTTATAGTGCTCGCCACTTTCTCACTCCTTCTATTCTTTATCTCTATAAATTTCAAATCCGTCCTTGTATTGAGCACTGTTGCCATATCTGTGGCAGTTCTTCCAATAATGCACTTTCTCTTTTAAATAAGGTGGAAAAACACATTGTAAACATAATAGGACCTGCTCTTACAGCCAACCTCCAACCATTATTACATTGTGGTAATGTTGCTTTTCTTTCTTTTTTTCTATAAATACTATAATGGGCACTGCTCTGAAGAGCTAGCGTAACTTGTGCCATCTACTAAAAATCATTCTTGAAAAAAATATGTATGTTTAATAAAACTATAATTTGAAATACAAATAATAAATTATAATTTTTTCAGGGAATTATTCATAAAACTGATGTTTTATGTTTTTCATTAACTTTACAATTGCTGCAATATATTTTTACAACTGCTGCAAAATATTTTTACAACTGCTGCAAAATAATTTTACTCCTGCTGCAAAATATTTTTAAAACTGCTGCAAAATAATTTTACTCCTGGTGCAAAATATTTTTACAATTTTAAATATTTGCTTATTTTAATAAATGTATGATATCTTTTTGAAGTTGACAACACTCTTTGCTTATTTTGCTTTTTTTTGTAAGTTAAATAATTGATTTTTCTTTTTTTTATAAAATAGAGACTCTCTGTTTATTTTGCTTTTTTTTTTTTTTTTTTTTTTTTTTTTTATTAGTAAGTTAGATAATTGTTCTTTTTTTTAATAACTAGAGACTCTGGAATGGATTTTAAAAGTTATAGATATTATGACAAAAAGACATGTGGATTTGATGCTGCAGGTTGTTTTGAAGACTTATCAGTATGTATTAATAATTTATTTTTTTTATATATTTTAAAATTTTTTATCTGCTCAAACTTCAGCTAGAAGTTATGCCTAAATACAATTTGCTTGAGTTTTTTTAATGTATAGTTTTTGTGAATATTAATTTATTAATTCAAAAAATTATTTTCTGTAACATTTACTCTACTTTAAACTAATTTCTAAAATCAGAAATCAAAGAAGTACATTAAAAATTTATATTGTATATTGTTCCAGGTCAGGCAGAAATTTTACATGAATGCTTTAAATCCTATATTCTTGCTTCTGATGCTAAAGTTATTTCTCACTTAACTCCTTTTGTGGTCAGGACAACATTCCTTTTACAGCCTTACAAAAGTGTTCTCCAAAGCTCTCTTTACTCTTAAAAAAAAAGGTATATAGGCAGGCTTTCACAGGAAGATGTGCGATTTCACGTCTTTATATGACCACGCAAGTTACATTTTGCTATGACGGTTTGACCGCGGCTAATTCAAAAACATTTTAGAAATGCGCTAAATAAAAAATATTCTAAAAGTGTGAAATTAATTGCATCAAAACTTCTTAACAAATGTTTTTATATTAGCGAAACGATTTTTAATAAAGTAACAATTTACTGAAAAAAAGTTTTGTTTTTTAAATAAAATTGACAGTTGTATATATTTTTTTAATTTAAAACATATAAATTGTTTAAGTGTTCATTTCTAAAATAAATCTTATTAAAAAATAAAAAATTGTTATGTTTTTATAAACGATGACATTCTACGACTACGAAAGTCTCTTAAACGAATTTAAATATAAGAATGATTAAAGTTAATGCATTTAAAAAAATAAACCAAATTTTGTTAAAAAAAAAGTTTTAGAAAACCGTTACAATTTAATAAGTTTGATCATAAATGCTTTTATATTATTGAAACGCTTTTAATGAAGTAAAAAAAAAAAAAACACTTCTAATTAATTAAAAAAAAAAGTATTTATAAAATTTTTTTAATGCGTAAATTAAATAGACTAAGCATTTTAGTTTGATGAGTTTTGTTTTAGTTGCGTTATATATATGTATTTATTTTTTTGTGTTTTTGCTTTAACTAAGTATTTTTTTTTTATTTTCTCTTTCGTTAATATTTATTATTTTTTTAATTTTTTTTTTCAGATAAGTTTAGGTAAGTTTTTGTGGCGCGTTTTTAATTTTAAAAAAAAGTCGTGGTCAAATCGTTAAAACATTCTTTTTTTGCGTGGTCATATAAAGACACGAAATCGTACGTCTTCCTGTGAAAGCCTGATATGTGAAATTTTTTTGCAAACTGATTTAAGGAAGTGGTCACCCAAACCCTATTTCAGAACCTTAAATTGACCAAAATTTGTCTGAAAACCTAATCTTGAAGTTTTATGTTTATTTCATATAAAATCCTGCTATAAATTGTTTAATATTACATTTAATATATATATATATATATATATATATATATATATATATATATATATATATATATATATATATATATATATATATATATATATATATATATATATATATATGTGTGTGTGTGTGTGTGTGTGTATATATATATATAAAGTATTGTAATGTTACAACATAGATAGTTCAAAGAGGAGGCTAAGTGCAGGTGAATTTAGATTTACCTCCTCCCCATTATATACCAAAATTTTTTCTAAATTATATTTTGATTGCATTATTGAAAAGTATTTTACTTGCAATAATTTGTTGCAAACTTTTCTAATTCAACTATAACTCAGAAATTAACTTAAAATAATTTTAATAATAGTGATGGCATGATTGGTCATAAGGTGTGTGGTGGGTAAAGGTTTGGTGGGTTTTGTATTATCTATAAATTTTTATTATTATTTTTATAAGTTTCATTATTTTTTTGACTTTGAGCACTTTATATTTATTAAGTTTAAATTTATTATAGTAAAACAGTATAAAAATATAACTTAAGAAGATGTCTGCTTCAGTTTTATCATATGCTTGTAAAACAACACACTCAACTACAAATATTGGCTTGTTAGACATATTCTCTCAATATAATGCGTGAAAAAGAGTGGCTTGGATCTTGGAAACCCTATGTGGTGAAGAAGTTGAAAGAATACTTGAAAGGCACTGAACCTCATGATGATTATAAAGAATTTGGAAGACTAGCACTTATCCTTTTAAAAGATGATGGTATTACAACTATTTTGCAGTCCTGGGGCTTACCATCATGCAAACTGGATGGCTAAAGGTTTATACTGTTTAAAAATTTTTGGTTTTCGTTATCAATTAAATTTACTTGGGCTATTCGTGATGACTACAAGGCTGCGTTTGCGCCATGAAAGTGGTTATCTACTGCAGAATGGGCAGTTAAATTGGCCACTGACTTGCATTTGAATAAAAAAGACAACATTTTCTCTACCAATTAGTTGAGCACCATAAGAAACGTTTTTGAACTGAAGATACAAAAAAAAACAACAGTTAAGCAATAATCATCCCTAAAACAGCAGTTCAAAAAGACAAAGAAATGTTTGAAAATAAGCAGCTTTTTTAATATTTAGATTAGCTTCTTTAAAAAAACTAAAAAAAAAAGGGTTTTAAAAGGGGGTCCCTTGACTAGGTCTGGGAATGGGTCATTTTATGTATACATTCTTATAATTTAATTTAATAAGTAAAACTAATGCATATAACATTGACATAAGTTCATTTTAATACATTTCAGAAATACATAATTATAGGTAAAAACAAGGCTTATAAAGCAGGTCCGAGAACCAACTCCTAGCATCAGTTTGCAAAAAAAATTTGATTATATACTTTTCTCATTAAACTTCACCAAATAAGTGGGTGTGCAATATCAAATTTGAAAAATAAATTTTTTAGGCCACCCCAACAAACTGTGCCCCAGTGGTTAAAATCAGAACTCTAACCACTGGGCCATTGTTGCAACAATTCTGATTTTCCTTACAAATAAACAATAGTAAGGTGATATATGAAAGATAGTTCTATCATATATCACCTTACTAGTGCTCAGAATGTCATTTTTATCAATTTTTAATTACACTTAAAATTACAGTAATAACAAATTTTTGATAAAATACTAATTTAAAAAAAATAACTTGTTTTTACATGCTTGTACTAGTTTTCAATGACATTTTGGTAACTAAAAAAGATTTGCTATGTTAATATAGCTTTTAATATGCAGATTTTTATGTCTAAATTTAAAAAAAAAAAATTTAGAGATAAAAATCTGCACATTAAAAGCTATATACACATGTAGTAATATATAATGATTCTTCAAAAAAATTTATAATAACTTTTGCTAGTAAACTAGATTTTAAAATTTTATTTGTATGTTGGCCTTTATATTACCCTCCAGATGATTTTGGTGTTTTGTAGCTTCTTTTTATTTTTAGAATATACCTAACAAATCCATAGTATTGCTTCATGCATGTGCTCATAATCCAACTGGCGTTGATCCAACTGTAAGTTTTTTAAACTTGAATTTTTATTTTTATTCATCATCTATTTAACAAAACATCTATTATAATTGATGTTTTCTTCTATATATATATATATATATATATATATATATATATATATATATATATATATATATATATATATATATATATATATATATATATATATATATATATATACCCATATAGTGTCGCTTTAAGAGCATTTTAATGTAAAAAAAGTCTCTTACGACTACAAATTTAATTACCTCGTCTCTTAAGCTGTTTTTGATTGTCATCGAAATGTCAAAGCAATTAATTTATGCGGAAGTACATTAAATTTAATTGTTTTTTTAAAAAACCGCAATTATAACGACTAGAAAGTTTTTTTTAATTAGTGGTGTTTTTGTTATTGATTTAATAAAAAACATTTTTTAAACATGCGTAAATGTTGCTACATCGACTATCTTATAGCCTGACTCGCAACGGAGTGCTGCTACATCGACTGACAAATAGCCTGACTCGCAACGGAGTGCTGCTACATCGACTGACAAATAGCCTGACTCGCAACGGAGTGTTGCTACATCGACTGACAAATAGCCTGACTCGCAAGGGAATGCTGCTACATCGACTGACAAATAGCCTGACTCGCAAGGGAGTGCTGCTACAACGACTGACAAATAGCCTGACTCGCAAGAGAGTGCTGCTACATCGACTGAGGGTTTGGTTTGGCCAGGCAGTCTATCAATTAAAAAAAAAATTTAATTTTAAAAACTTTTTCTGGTCTGGTTTATTAACGCGCTCTTTAAAACTACAGTTTATGGGAAATATTTTTTGATGCCACGCAAGAGACATGCAAGAGTATATATATATATATATATATATATATATATATATATATATATATATATATATATATATATATATATATATATATATATATATATATATATGTATATATATATATATATATATATATAGGCTTTCACAAGAAGACGTGCGATTTCGTGTCTTTATATGACCACGCAAAAAAAGAATGTTTTAACGATTTGACCACGACTTTTTTTTAAAATTAAAAACGCGCCACAAAAACTTACCTAAACTTATCTGAAAAAAAAAATTAAAAAAATAATAAATATTAACGAAAGAGAAAATAAAAAAAAAATACTTAGTTAAAGCAAAAACACAAAAAAATAAATACATATATATAACGCAACTAAAACAAAACTCATCAAACTAAAATGCTTAGTCTATTTAATTTACGCATTAAAAAACCTTTTCAATCATTGTTTCAACATTTTTATATATTTTTTTATTTGTTTTATGTTCAAAAGTTAAATATTTCTCATAAAAAATACATAGTTATATAAATAAAATAAAAAAAAATTTTATAAATACTTTTTTTTTAAATTAATTAGAAGTGTTTTTTTTTTTACTTCATTAAAAGCGTTTCAATAATATAAAAGCATTTAAGATCAAACTTATTAAATTGTAACGGTTTTCTAAAACTTTTTTTTTAACAAAATTTTGTTTATTTTTTTAAATGCATTAACTTTAATCATTCTTATATTTAAATTCGTTTAAGAGACTTTCGTAGTCGTAGAATGTCATTGTTTATAAAAACATAACAATTTTTTATTTTTTAATAAGATTTATTTTAGAAATGAACACTTAAACAATTTATATGTTTTAAATTAAAAAAATATATACAACTGTCAATTTCATTTAAAAAACAAAACTTTTTTTCAGTAAATTGTTACTTTATTAAAAATCGTTTCGCTAATATAAAAACATTTGTTAAGAAGTTTTGATGTAATTAATTTCACACTTTTAGAATATTTTTTATTTAGCGCATTTCTAAAATGTTTTTGAATTAGCCGCGGTCAAACCGTCATAGCAAAATGTAACTTGCGTGGTCATATAAAGACATGAAATTGCACGTCTTCCTGTGAAAGCCTGATACAGTATACATATATACAGTAGTGTATATATAAATATATATACAGTAGTGTGTATATATATATATATATATATATATATATATATATATATATATATATATATATATATATATATATATATATATATATATATATATATACAGTAGTGTATATATATATATATATATATATATATATATATATATATATATATATATATATATATATATATACAGTAGTATATATATATATATATATATATATATATATATATATATATATATATATATATATATATATATATATATATATATATATATATATATATATATATATATGTATATATATATATATAGGTACCTTCATAAAAAATTTAAACTTTTATTTTTTAAACCAAATTAATTCTATTATATAGAGATTGTTCAATGACAAATTTTTATACCAAATTTATTATCTGGGGTCAACTATAAAAAAAGATATTCAATTTTGAAGGTAGAGAAAATAAAGTGGACATCTTAACAAAGATACACAAGAAAATGACTTCAAAGAGTGGACTTTATAACATAGTTCATAAAAAAAAAAAAAAGAGAGGGGGGGGGGTGTTTAAGCCCATTTTAAAAGGGGGTCAAATTCGATTCTAGTCATTTTATTAAAAAAAATTACCATAACTAATATAAATTTAAGTTTGTTCATGCTTAAATCTAATGAGAATGTGAAAAAAAATTGTATAAAAAATTGAAGTGATTGGAGCCTGGGAACAAAAATACCCCAAAAAGTTTGTGCCCCACATAAAAATGTGAGGGGACCAAGTTATTAAAATACATTTACTTATTATTTTATACTACATTTAAATCTATCAACAGACCCAATAATTCTTGATATGTTTAAAGTTATTTTTTTAAGTTATTTCACATGGTCATAACCTTTGAGCATTAAAAAATGTGAATTTAAATTTAGTTTTGAATAATAAACTTAAAAACTTATTTACTCATTAAATTAACATTTGAGACAGGGGGGTTCTATCTTTTTTAGATAGTTTTGTTCCTAAGTTTTATTTACCACAATTTTTTAGCAAATCATTCTTATTTGACACATGATTGAACATACTTATACTTAGAGTTTTCACAATGCCAAGTACAGTATCTGAAATGTAAAATGTGCCTGCTCTTGGTTAATACAAAAATATTTAAAAACTAAAAGGAATAAATAAAAATGTATACAAAATAATCAACTTAAACAAAATAAAAGATAATAATGCCTAATATATTATAGTAATTTTTAAATGAACTCCAAGTCTTTAAGTATTAGATCTGCTATAACTCCTTCCTGGCTTATGTCAATATCTTCAGCTTCATCTTCATTGACTTTCCAATATCCTATTGTGTATGTAATAGATTTTTTTTTTTGTTGCTACCTTTTGATCAACAATTCTACCAAAAAATAAATGTATATTACCATCATCAAGCTCCCATTTATGGCTTAAGAGCTGCCCTATCAAGTTTCCATTTTTCAAAATTACTCCTAAAATTCGTTTTTGTTTTTCATCAATATTAACAAAAAGCGGATTTGTGGTTTTGGCATTTTCAGCTATTGCTCTTTTAATATCCTTCTCTAGTCGCTTTCTTTCCAGACGCTCTTTTTTTAAATTAGCTTTGGCGCATCTTTTTCCTATTTCTTCATACAAAAGATTATTAAAATTTTTAGAGGCTTGACACGTTAAAGCTCCTCTGCGAATTACAAATTGAATAAGATCTTCTTGTTCTGGCAATGTTTTCTCATCAAGCCATGTTAATGTTTTGTTTACCCTGGCTTTTATTTTAGAATCCAGAAAACCAAAAAAAAGAATAAAAATGCAACAGGAAAGATTACTCTTTCCTGTTGCATTTTTATAAACCAGACTCATCCATGGCCCAGTTATTATTTTTCCTATCAGGCCCAACCCTTGCAGTTGCACAAGCGTTATATCATTACTCATATCTTGAAGTAAGAGTTGGCAAATTTTATTTTTGGTGTTGCTAGAATAACGAGAAAATGTTAATACATAGAATTCTATTAAAACAAATATTCATCTAAAAAAAACTTTTCAAGAAAGGTTTTTATAAGTCTTTCGTATAACAACAATCCCTGCCATATGGAACAAAACATGAAATCTACTACTAACATATCTAAGGAATAGCCCTGGAGCAACATTGTTTTTTTTAAGATAGCTTTTGAATGCTACAGGATTGCCTTTAAAACTATACCTGATTTTTAAAGAGCAAAAAAATTAAAATTTCAAATTTTCAAAACGTGGAAATAATAAAGAAATAATTGCTCACAAGAAAATAAAACTAAAAAAAAATTTAAATAATGAAAGATATACATATAAAAGATTACCTTAGCTTAGAAATATTTTTGAAGACTGTTACTGCAACCCCATCAGTTCCTTTAGCTGGTTTTATATTCAACTCATTATCTATTGTTTTAAGAGGTAATAATGCTTTTAAGGCAATAGTTTCCAATGGATGAAGATTGCAGTACAGTTGCATTAATTGAATGTCCATCTCTTCCTGAAGCATTTTTTTCACACAACTATTAACAGGTGCTCTGTCTGACAGACAACTTTTGATTTTTTGAGTGAAAACATCTAAAACTTCTACTGCTGGCATATTTTTAAACTCTGCAAATGTATTGGCAAGTTCTTTTATTACACTGACAATATGAGTGGCACAGTCAAATCCTGTGCCTCCAGCAAGTTTAGCGGTTGATAAGGAATAACATCTCTGCGGAGGATAGGTACTGATAAGGAACTCATTTACATGTTTGTCTAAAACGGTGGTTGCATCAAACACTACTGTTGCACATTCACAATGAAAAGGTGCCTCACCAGCCTGAACCAATGCTAAAACACCTGGCTCATATGCCATTAGATTTACTGTGGATGAGTGAGGTGTTTCTTGCAGTTCTGTATTGTGTAACAGTTCAGAAATTTTTTCTAACAAAAATGAGACGCTTTCCACAGGCACATTGATAATAATAGCAGCATAAACACATTTTCTTATGGGTAGGTCATATGTTTTTAATTTTTTGGTTTCTATAAGTAACCTATTATCTTTTTTTTTTTCTAAAACAATACTAGTTAAATAATGATTTTGTTCTACAAGTTGTTTATTTTTTCGCTCTTTGATTTTTATCTGTCCCTGTAATTCTTTGATAGCAATTTTGTGTTTCCTTTCTATTTTTTAAACATTTTGTTGCAACTTCATTCTACTAATTTTAAGAATTCTCAATTCATTAATGAAATCTAGAGAATGAAACTTATTCTGTTGAACTGTTTTTTTTTTTTTTTTCTTCTGAGTATTTCAATTTCCACAAATTTAGTGAAAAATACTGTCTTTTAAATTTTTTTTTGTAAGCTTGTTACAGGTCATTGATTTTTTCAAAAAACAAACTCTCTGCTGCAATTTTCTGTTTTTTTTTCTTGTAAACTACGTATTTCATCTTTTTTTATTTTGCATGAACCACACTTTACTCTCTGCATTGTGTCTGAAGCAATATTTAAATCACTTGCAACGTTTAAGTGAATAATTGTATTAGAACTATTTCTTTTTCTTTCATATTTAAATGGTTGCTGCAAAAAATTAACAATAGCAGCCCATGACTGGGTAGGGTTTTTTTTAAAGATTTTTATCTTTTTATGCAAGTATCTTATATTGTTGGAGAATATTTTAAAATCAGATGCATTTTGAGGTCCAATGTTCAGTTTTTTTAATTTCAGACAAGTTTTTGATAATTTGAAATTATTTTCAGAAAAAATTTTGTAAATGTCACCATTTAACAAAGGCTTCGATTGGCATTTATATGAATTAATTAAAACGCAAATATCTTTTGCAGTCTTGTGGTCCATCTAAAGTAAAGAAAAATACAAAGCAACAATGAAAATAATTTTAAAAAATGGCGCTATAATCAATACATTATTTTGCGGTAGCAACTGTATGCATCTTTTTTAAACATGAAGGAGATTTTAAAGTATTGGTTATTATACATCAAATGAAAGATCTATGAAGAATTTATTTGAGCATGTCAAAATCATTTATGAGCATTTGTATTGGTATATTAAATTCTTTATATGAAAATTACCTATTTTGGCAGGATTCCTTAACAGTGAAAAAATCGCAATTTTTTGAAAATTGTATAACTATAAATAAGTTTAACCTTCACTTTAAACGAAAAAATATAACAAAAATTGACACTTTATTTTTTAGCTAGCTTTTAAACACTCTTTCCTTTATGCATTTAGCGTAGTTTGGAAAAACACGGAAATTCAGAAACTTTATAAAAGCGATGTCAAAATAAAAAAACGGACGCATACGAGGGTACCTATATATATATATATAAAAGAAGACATGAAATGTGTGTGAAATAACAGTTTTAAATCTCCACATATGAGATTTTAAACTGTTATTTCACACACATTTCATCATATATTATAGACACATAAACATATTAGATGTTGAAGAACGTCTTTCTAATACTTTGTGTGGCCACCTTTGGCTTTAATAAGTGCCTGCACCCGATCTGGCATACCTCAAATCAACTTGCCACATGTGTCCTTGATCTCATCATCATGAAACCACTCATGAATCAGACTGATTTATTGTTTATTGGCACATGAAACCACTCATGAATCAGACTGATTTATTGTTTATTGGCACTTATCTAGCTTATCCCAAATTGACTCTATAGGATTAATGTCAGGAAAATTCCCTGGCCATAGGAGTACTTCAATGTCATTTTTTGTCATCCAATAGTAGACCTTGCGTGCCAAGTGGCATGGAGCTAAGTCTTGCTGAAAAAAACAGGTGCTGTCCTAGAACCAGTCACGTATTTGGGGCTTCAAACGAGTACTGAGTATTTCAATTTACTTTTCCGCATTCATTGTGCCCTTTACAATGTGCAGGCAACTTGTCCCTTGGGTGGATATTGCACCCCATACCATAGTCTTCGTGGAGAAATGACCACCAATACTTTCATTAAAAAATATGGATTATGTAGAAAGATTTTTTTTTTACAAAAAAACAAGTTAATGTAATATTTATTAGATAAGATAATATAAATTAATATTTATTAGTCCCTTTATATTAAATTATATATTTTAATTTTCATTACCAAAAAGTAATGAAAATTAAAATATAATTTAAATTTAAGTTTTAAATTGGCGAGTTTTTATCAAGGTTTGAATTAGCTATAGGTCTTTTAGAAGGAAAAAATAAATCGTATGTTTAAGATTAGTATTGTAGTTTTCTTCAAGATAAACCAATGAACCAACCTCAATATGAACCAATAAACCAACCATGTGTGTGTGTATGTGTGTGTGTGTGTGTGTTTGTGTGTGTGTGTGTGTGTGTGTGTGTGTGTGTGTGTGTACATATATATGTATATAAATCTTTATACATATATGAATATACTATTTTAATTTAGAAATAATGTTTATTTCAGCCAGAACAATGGAAAGAATTATCCCATATAATAAAGGTAACTTTTTTAAGTTTTTGTAATGATTTTTTTGCATTTGGATCAGTGATTTATATTGTACATAAATACATGCATTTATATTTTAGTATTTCTTTGTAAACATTTTTGCAGGGCTATATTAGGGATGTTTTTTGAACAGCAAGCTGTAGAAGAGTCTATGGAGCTAAAAAATTTAGTCACAGAAGTGATAAAAATGCCTAACAAAAGTTTAACCTGTTTGTCAAGAAGAGTGTGTTTAATAAAATCAAGAGATAATTTTTTTTTCTTTATATGCATTTTTTACAATAATGAGAGTTGAAGTTTGCATATTTGTATGTTTTTTTCAAATTTTTTCTTTTTACTGGTAGTAGTTTCATCTACCTAAAAATTGTATTTAACATCATTTAACTATTAATTGATAGTTGTCTCTGGCATTCCTATATGTATGTAAATCAGAATATTTTCTTTGCTAACTTGATTAACGTGTTGCTGTCTGATTTTTTATACAAAATTATTAGATCATTGCTTTCTTTCCGATTTGTTTTTTTGGTTCAGATGTTCCAAGGACTTTTGACTTTTCTTCTCATCATTAGGACAACCATTTCTCAAAAAGATGTATAAATGAAACTTTTTTCCTATTACATTTTTACATTTTTGGAGAATATAAAAGCAAAGTTTTTTTACCCCTTCCTTTTTTTTTTTTTTTTAAATTTTTGCATCATTAAAAACTGTATATCTACAGGTAATAAGGGATTAAATACGTATTTATATTTAGTAAAAACAGGCTAATTTGGTATTTTATATTAATTTTTTTGTATTAATTTGTATTCATATTGTATTTGATTAAATTTTTTTTTTTAATATTTGTATTTGTAATTGATTGAAATGTATTTGCAATTCCATAAACATAGAGGTTAACTGGTGTTTGGGTTAAGAACCAAGAGGTTTTTTTTTTTTTCCATTTCAAAACTAAAATAAATTGAAAATTTGTTTTTAAGGGATATTTGTTAGAAGACTTGTTTTCATTCTTCTATTTAGTAAACCATTTTATCAGTCTTGTCTTGAAAAAATCTTTATATTTTTTCTTTAACCTAAAGTACATATATTTGTATTTGAATTTGTACTTTGAAATTAACTTAAAATTAACTTATATATGATCCCAACCCTGATATTGATATGCTTCTCACCTTTGATATCCCTGCTTCTCACCTTTGATATCCCTGCTTCTCACCTTTGATATCCCTGCTTCTCACCTTTGAGTCCTTCTCACCTTTCTGTTGTGAACTAGAATCTAAAAAATTCATTTCTAAGGACTGGTACCCAACTGGGCTGATAATATATCTTGCATTATCAATTTTGTTCTTTTGTTGTTTTAATAATGATTTAATGCAGTAAGTCTAAATCTGTATTGACTGTATTAAGTTCATTAAGATTCTGGTTATGATTCTGTTTAATTTCTGATAACATTGGGTTGAAGATGAGCTCAGTTCAAGTTCAAGCTCAGTTTCAAATATTTAAGAAAATTAAATATTTGTATTTTTTAACAAGATTAACAGTAAGCTTATTAAACAATCTTCTACGTAAGAAATCGTTGCATCTTAATGTCTTAATATAAACTTTAAATAAAAACAACATTTTTTAAAAATAAAATATATGTATTCATTCATATATATTTATATAAATATAAATGAATACATTCAGACAATTATTTAACAAGTCAAATTGTTTTAGAAGTTATTTTAGTTTTTTTGTTTTATTTTATTCATAACTGCCTAATTTCAATTTTCAATCAAGTTGACTTAGATCACATGACGGAGCAGACAATTACTAAACTCCTGACTAGGGCTAACTATTGCTGAAGTCAGTTTCTTTAAAGAAAACTCAGACACTTGTTTATTCATTCAAATGATTCAAAAAATCACTTTGAAAAAGTGTGATTAGACTTTAACAACCAATGTTTTAAATAATACCATAAAGTTTTTGATAAATAATATTTTTAAGAACATTTACTTTTATCCAACTATCTACTGACTTCAGAATCACTTTTTAAATGTGGCTTGCTATGTGTGGTCATTTTAAATAGTATAACATTGGGTGCTGCCTAAGTTTAAATACAAATTTAGGAAGAATTATTAAAATAACTAATTTTCTAATTGGTTCATAATTTAGGCCTTGGTATCATAATAAAGAGGATTGCATAAACTAAATATTTCAACTGCCTACTCTTAATACTGTACAAATATACATACATACAGTAATAAAAGAAACATCATTGATGACATCATACTTAAATAGTCATCTGCTGGGCTTAAGTATTTACTAATGGTTTAAGTTTTGAAGTTGACTTGTTTAAAAATTTCAATAAACTCTTTTTGTAATTTTTTAATATTGAGTAAGTTTTAGAGAAAGAAAAAAAAAGGTAATAGAAAGTTGTTTAATTTCTAGAAAAAAAATCATTATCCGTTCTTTGATATGGCATATCAAGGTTTTGCAAGTGGTAATGTTGATCGAGATGCTTTTGCTGTTCGACTATTTCTTGAAGATGGTCATAAACCTTGTGTTGCTCAGTCTTATGCCAAAAACATGGGTTTATATGGTAATTCAAATAAATCCTAAAATATTTTGTATGAAGTTATATTAAAATCTTTTTCTTTAATCAAAATTTCTTTAGGTGAGAGAGTCGGTGCATTTAGTGTTGTATGTGAGTCACCTAAGGAAGCAAAAGCTGTTGAATCTCAGTTGAAAATCCTCATCCGTCCTATGTACTCTAATCCACCAATACATGGCGCTCGAATTGTTGGTAAAATATTAAACTCACCAGAGTTGTATAATGAATGGTTGATACAAGTTAAAGGAATGGCTGATCGTATTATCTCTGTTAGAAAAATGTTAAGAGAAAATCTAACTAAAGAAGGTAAATTTTAATTTTTAATAATTTTTTTTTTATCTTTTTAATTCTAGAAATACTTAAAATTTCATGAGTTTCTGTACTTATTTTATTAATGTCTAAAATAGGTATTATAATCATTAGGAGAAACATTAAAAATTTTTATACAGAGAGAAGATATTATAAAGTTATATTTGTGTTATTAACAGGCTCATCGCATGATTGGCAACATATAACTAATCAGATCGGAATGTTTTGTTTTACTGGCCTAAAACCTGAACAGGTAATTTTATTCCATTCTTTTTCAAAGATTTGTTTAACAGATTTTTTAACAGGCCCTACAAATTAGAAATTGTCCCCATTTTGGTTTCGATAAAATCCTTTTAATTTAGTGTGCTGGTAATAAATTAGTGTTTAGATTATGTCAAACTTTAATTTATCTAAAAAAAAGCATATGATAGGAATTGCAACAAAGGCACTTTTCTTAAGAAATTTATGTTAAATATATTTAAATGAAATAGATAAACTTTAATGATTTAACTTTTTAAATGAAAATCCGAGACTTAATAATAAAATTTTTTTGAATCATCCTTCTACCAACTATTAATAGTTTTTTCAATATATGAGCTTTTCATTTTTGTCTGATATAAAGATTCAAAAAAATTTTAAATCCTGGTGGAATCTTTCACAAATCTATTTACTGAGTTTATTGAATACTATAAGGAGTCATCCATAAACTACGTCACGCTATGGGGGGAGGGATTAGTGGTTTTGTGACGACTCATATGTATATTGTTACCAAAGTGTTTGGATGTTGTGCCGAGGGGAGTCTAAAATGGTAAAAAATTGCGTGACGTAATTTGTAGTTTTAGTTTGTTTTACCAAGTTTAGTATGTTTTCATGAAGAGTTTATTCCGCCATGGTACTACTAACACTGAGATTAAGCCCGTACTGCGATTTTTTTTTTTTTTTTAATTTGCATGTTAAATCATAAAATTGTTTTGAAATTAAAAAAAGGGTAAATTCATGTTTCGAAAAATATATATACTCTTTTGCCAATATTTCCTGTTCAGCTAATATATTTGCTGTATTGACAATATTTTGTATTGACAGATATTTCACGGTTTTCACTTTGTTTTAACAGCTTTTTGACTTTAAGACACCCTAAAGAGGATAAAAAATTGATCAACTGAGTTAAAAATAAACAATTAACTCGTAAGGTAGCAAAAATTCTAAAAAACTTTGACCATAAATGCCTAGAAAAGAAAGAAAAGTAAAAACCTAAGAACGCAAAATTTTCCAGCTTGATTTATGGAAGTATTGAAAATGAAGTATGGTTGTTCCAGAAAGAAACTATTATCTTTTCGATTCTTTCATCATCAAATGTCATTGAACGTTATTGAAATAAAGTTTTCAACAACAGCATATTTAAAACATAAAGTTTGCAACAACAGCATAGTTAAGAAAGTCACAGTCAGCAAAATCTTTAATGAATGATTTTCTTATGTCAAAGTTAACTTTATTATCACTACAATAAATATAATTACAATTTTATAAAAAAAAATTTAAAAAGATCAAAGCTGAAGCTTACACTTTGATGACATCAATTTAAAGGAATAAGCTGTATTCGAAGATGGGTCACGTACAGCTTATGCATTTTGATGACATTGCATTAGAATGAGATAACTTTTTTTTTAACCTGAATTATACGCAAAATTATTATAAGCTCAATTGCTTATCATTCGATGAATAACGAACTGATTGCATTGTTTAAATAAAATAATAAGAAATTGAAATATCTAAGCAGCATGAATTAGTGTCTAGATTCTAAAATAATCGCATTTTTTAATTATAGCAAACTTTATTTAAAAGGATTTAATTGCTTAAATGTTTTCTAAATATTTTGTATTGATTATTTTCTTTTGTAAAGGTGGAGCAATTGACTAAAAACTACTCTATCTACTTAACTAAAGACGGTCGTATATCTATGGCTGGTGTCACGTCACATAACGTTGGTTATCTGGCTAAAGCTATACACGAAGTCACGAAATAATCGAAACTATTTCAGAAGTAAAATAATGAGATGTGATTATTTATTTGTCAATTATGTATACTATGCAGAATTAAAATTAATAAATTCTTTCTGAATACTTGCTAATATAGTATTGCGAATCAAGTATGAACTGGCACAAATGCGTCGAAGAAATTTGCAAACACTGACGCAAGTGCAAAATTACAACATAAGAATAAGCTAAGTGTTTAATGCGATTGATAGGTAGAAAGGCTTGTAGCAATATAAACACACTATTGGATTTTAGTTGGAAAGAATGAATGTTTGTTTTTAATAAACGAGGAGTAATCAAAACGTGATTTGTCGCAACAGCAAAAATATGACTAACATTTTTCCCTTCTATGGTATATGCATATTTTGTAGAAGAATAAAATTGTTTTGTAGAAGACAAAATTTGTTTTGTTCAAGTATTTTAAATGAGGAAAAGTGATAGTAAAAACAAAACGAGTTTCAATTCACCAGCATAACTTAACTAAATGTTTTGTCCGAACAACCAAGCGGGCACAGAACAACAGAATAACTTAACTAAATGTTTTGTCCGAACAACCAGCGGGCACAGAAGTCCGTGAAACGTCGATACGGTGTTACATGGACGTTAGAGGTCCGCCGGACGTTCTGTTCCCGCTGGGAATCACAGAAGAGCGAACGCCATTTTGATAATTCGCAAAACGTACTTTGAATTAATGAAATACTTGGTAATTATCTTTTTCAGGATATTTTTAACTTCTAGTTTTTCAAGATTTCCATAAGTTCTCCATAAACACAGATTTGAATTTTTTTTGCACAGTATTGGTTTATTAAATTTTTCAATCATTACCCATACACAAAATAAGAAAAGTTTCAAAAATAAAAATCCATCAGCTTTAAGCTGAATTAAGACAAATATGAGTAAGATAAATTTCAGTTCTTTTTTGAAAATACGACCTGGATGATCATTGATCATTTCCTAATCAAGTTGTCATTGCAATTTTACGAGGTTTTTTTTAACAAAAAGTGAAGCAAAGGAGATCCAGATTAAAACCTAACAAGAAGGTTGTGTGGTAGACTTTATATAGACTTAATTAATTAGGGTTCTTAGAGGTTTCATCTTTGCAAACCATTGCAACGAAACAGTTCAAAGTGAAAAATTAAAGAGAATTAAGGTGGTCCTATACCATCAAACTTGTGTCACTAACGTTTGACCTTCAAACACTTATTACTGCATTTAATAAGATGCCCAGATACAAAAAAAGAAAAAAAACTAAAAAAATTAATAAAAAAATTTACGGGCTTAATAAACCATGTTGGGACCCGAAATACCCCAATTACTGTTTCCTTAATAACTTTTAAACCATATTTACTCATTGAATAAAATTTTACAAAAAGTTTTGTTTTACTATGAAGAACAATTTGAACTAAAATCAATAAAATTTATTGAGTAGTTTAAATTTTATAGATAAAAAATCATTTATATCAAAAATTTACTATAGTTACGTTAGTTCTAAGACCAAAAATTCAAAAAATACAAAGTAAAAAACTTTCATTTTAGTTCAGGTTGTAGATCAAACCTAAACGAATAACTTGGGAAATTTTTAGATCAAACTGTAAAGTCTAGGAAAATTTATTCTGGAAACGGTGAGGAAAAATAGGCTAAAATCAAAAGCTGAGAAAAAACGAAAATAATAAAATAAATAGAAAATAACAAGCATTAAAATGATATTACACATAAAAAAATCAATATGCTCCAGTCATATAAGACTCACAGTCATTTGTGTTTGTCTGTTCATCAATAAAACCCTTTCTTTTAGCTCTTAAAACTTTTCTTTGTTTTTTACAGAAACTACTTGACTTCTTGTTAGCTTTTTTTATTCTACATAAATCTCGTTTTGGACCATTTATGCAAAATGAAGCTCCAGGAGTAATGTTTAAAAATTTAAATACATTATGAAGTCCATTAAAACCATCATTAAAATGAATAATTGCTGAACAAACACCAATTTTAATTATTTTTTGACTGCAATATTGACTTTTAGGGCATCGAGACCAAATCATTGCATTAAGTGACTCATTGACATTCTGGGTCATTCCATGCAAACATTTTATCAATAAACTATCAGCACTTAGCTCCATAAAAATTGGTTTTAAAATATCTCTAATAGCAGCAGGCAGTGATAATTTAGGTTCATAATTTAACCTTTCCACTTCATTTAGTTTGTACCATTTGCACCAACTATCATTGGTTCTTGGACAATATAGATGTCTTTGAGCTTTAGTATCAGACTCACTACAATGAAGCAGAACTGCAATAATGGCTTTTTTCATGCTATAAACTTCAGAGTTTTGTCTGATGGACATGCCAAAGTAGTTTTGCAGTAAGTTAATAGCAGATTCAGTTAAGCGCCCTTTTCCAACAAGTTTTTTCCCATCTACTAAAACTTGTCCTTTCATACTCTGTCGTAGTGAACGTAGTCTATTCCCAAGTCTTTTTTGTATGTGACCAACACATTCAAGTTTATTAATAACAAAATCTTCACCATATGGCTTACTCTCTACAACTTTAAGAAATGAGCTGCCGTCACCATCCCCAACATAATTTTTATAACGCAAACCGTTTTGATGAATTGATCGATGAAAAATTGCTATAGCTCCTTGTGTCTCCATTGAGCCTGCTGAGCCCTTGTGGTTTATTGAACAGTTATGGCTGCTGTTCCATATTTGGTATTCATTTGTGCCTTTTTTATTACGCCATGACAGGCAAGCTTGACACTTTTTTGAAAGTACTTCGTAGTCAATAACCTTATTGTTAGTACGAGATATTGCAGTAACAACACCATTAAGAGATTCATGACCTCTTTTTTGCCATGTCCCATCTAGAGATACAGTACATTCAACAACTTCATCTACATTAGCTTTGCATTCCCTAACTGCATTGGTCATACTTTCATTAGCAGCAGTCATGTATGAGTTTAACATTTTGTTGTTAATTTCGTTATAAGCTTTGAGATTTATAGGACCTGTTAAACTTAGTATACGCGAAAAGGTCTGAATTGATGCATGACCTTTGCCAATTTCTCGAAATGCCATAACACATCTAGTATTAATGTCAAAACATTTTTGACCACTTTTATTAGGTAAAATAATTTCTTTAGAGGTAAAAATATTTTTACTCCATTGACAATAAGTACAGGAAAGTCTCAGTTTATTTGCCCATCCTTTCTTTTCTGTTGTTAAATTTTGAGTACACAGTCCCATTTGATTATATTCTGGGCAAACTGAATACAAACATATTGTTTCTGCCAAAATATTAAAGTCTATTAGCAAATAAGATATATTCAAATCTGCTTCCTTCACATTATTATTTTTCAATTTTAAACCACTTGCTGAACATGGAGCTTCATTTATAATGATTTCTGAAGTAGATATTGGATTCTTTATTGCTTCTAGTGGAGCAACTACAAATCGATTTCCATGAAATACTCTTTTTAAAGGTTTGTAACCTGATTTTCTTCGACCCATAAAAAAAATTTTAACTCTAGTACCAATTTACTAAATTCAAACAAATTAAATGAAGCACGAGGTTAAAGTCAATTTGTTCTTGCAAAGTATAGCCAAAAAATGAGTTTAAAAGTTGGCAAACTATACTTTAAAAATGCAGTGTTAACATTTCAAAGATTCATTTTAGCAGTGGGTAAAAAAGATCAGCAAAAACTTTTTTGATTTTGAAATTGCCGTTGCTAGGGGCGTAACTATGGAAAACATTTTCAGTACTTTGTTTAAAATTAAAAATATACCAACTTGTGCTCTGAATTTAGTTAAAACTATTAAAAAATCTTAAACTAGTATAAATTTTGCACAAAATTAAGTAAAAAAAAAAAAATTGAAATTTTCTATTTTTAATGGTATAGGACCACCTTAAGGAAATTAAAAAAGGCCATTTGAGCCAGAAAAAAGCAAAACTTGTGGAGAAACTTTAAGGGGTTGAAAGTCATTATGGGAGAAGTTGAAGCAAATATATTTCAAGGCGGGACTGAGTATTAAAAAACTGCATAAAATACACACTGAGAATGCCACGGATCAATTAAAAGTTAAAGTTTTAATGTTTAAACAATTTTTCTTTGAAAATTTAATATTAGTTTAAAATCGCCAACTACCAATGTGTGCAGTTACTATATCACAATATAAAGGCATATCCCGCAGGGTCTAATGAGACGTCTAAAGTCATTGTAGAAAAAGGGGTTCATAAGAAAGCATCTATTAGCCAGTAAGACAGAATATAAATGCAACTGCTTTGATTTGCTAAAATATCAAACATGATTATGATACTTACCATATCAAACATGATTATATATACCTACAAGTGCAGGAGGCATACTACTGAAAATATTTTAGATTTTATAGTTTTTTATAGTTTATTTAAAAAGATTGAACACAAACCTTACTGGTGCCCGAGCAACAAGCCGGAAAAGGAGTACAGAAATCTCATCAGCTTCTTTACATTTTCTTCTGAATAAAAACTTGTAGTGCGTTCTATTATGTACTTTATTCAAGCTCAAAGATTATGCTTTACAGAAATTTATAAATCGTCGGCATTCTTTTTTGTCCATAGACAGAGTTTTTTGCCTGGAAAGTAAAATTGTTGCGAAATAAGTTTACTATGATTGAAAAAAGAAGACACAGTAGTTTATAAAGAAAATGATTTTACACATTAAAACACGACTAATCAAAGAAACTGATAATCAAAAAAACATAATCAATATGAAGAAAATTTAAAGTCAGCTAGCTTAATAAAAAATAAGCAATATAATGAAAATTTAAAGCAAAAAAAAAAATGAAAAACTTTTTTTTCTACCAATACGCTCGCGATCAGGTCTTTAGTTGTAAGGATTCCGTATGAAAATCTATAAAAATCTGGATAAACTCTATAAATACGTTTATTTTAACAATAAAAACAATATATTTATAATTTGTTTATTTATATATTACTCTTCTGTTATTTTTTTTTTAATCTATTTTTACAATTATTAATAATTGTTTTTTTATAAGGTTTTTTTATAAATAAACAACACGAAACTATTTTTTTCATTACTTTAAAGAATTTTT